GGAGAGAGAACGCAGGCTGCTGCTTCATGGGGAGAAACGGAGACAGCTCAGGTGAAAGAGAAAATAAAATTGTTTGATAGCGTCCTGGCAGGGGCCAGCTTAGCAAGAGAAAAGTGCATTAGAAATTAAAGAGATTCCCAGTCTGAGGGAATGCAAATAACCCAGATAGACAATAAAGAAGTAATCAGGTGCAGACTCCATTCTCTGTGTATTCACCTTTGATGCCATCTGGAGAGGCATGAAGAACAGTGCTGTCTCCTGCTCCTCCCTCTGTCATCAATAAAAACAGGCTCCTGTCTGTACTGTATCCCTGCCCAGCCAATTCTCTGCACATCAAAGCTGAGGGGTATCATCCTCATATATCAGGATCTGGATAAGATAGGGACACTGTATACAATCCAGTCCCCCTGGCAGCAAATGCATGGTAAGGTAATGACGTTTGATTCGTCTGTTAGGAGGTTGTCAGATACACCGCTGAAGCAGAACTTTGCTTTGTTAATATACTGTACTTACAGACAACAAAAAGAGAAAGACTGCAATACGAACAGAGATGGAGATAGAGAGCAGAGCCCCAGTATCATTTATTTTTTTTATCTACGCAGATGAATATAAAACTTTTAAAGGTATGGAGAAGTGAACTAAAGATTTAAACGCACCTTAAACGCAGAGTCGCCTTTTAAGACGCCCCATTTATTCGAAAGCAATTATGAAATCTTTCAGGAGGTCTTAAATGCAAACCCCTCGGGGACGGCATTAATACTGTAGAACAGGTTATTCTGCTCCTGTCCAGGTAGAAAATTCAAAGCAACAACGACAATTAACTCCGTCGATGTTGCCTGAAACAGGAGCTAGTCCATTTCAAAGTTTCTAATTAGTGAATATAATGTCACAAAGACCGACCGCGGCAGTTACAACGAACATTAAGGAGTTCGCGCCTTAGCGCCCACCTGCAGTTCATCAGAATCCCGAATTATGGGAGCCAATCTCCTTTATAAACACCCTCCCCCCGCCGCATAGAGATGCATAGACTACATTAACTATAGTAAGCACTTTCGAAAAACATCATGCTAGTTGAAAAATCCAGGTGAAAACTCAATTTCACCGTGCCCCATAATTATTTTATTTTCGCAGTTACTCGAGTGTGAATGATAGGTCCCGTTAAATCCCTGCCAGACGGCGGGTCACAATAAGCTTTCGCGTGATACAACTTCAAAAGGGCTTCTATTTTCGTTTATCCTCCCCTCAAAGGATATTTTAAAATAATAAAGTGTAGCATTTCTTTCCAAAAAGAAGCGACTTAACATCAGAGTCAAGCCGGCATCCTTATTGAAACATGAAGGTCGTCGCTTGTTTAAATAAACGCGCACCATGTGCAAGTACATAATTGAACAAAAAAACCGAGAGCAGTCGAACTACAGCTACTACTAATATCTCGTTTAACTGACGAATTTCTAAAACATACATTATAGTGGGCCTACAGTTAATGTATAAGAGTTATTCAACCTTATATTAAAAAACAATTAACAGTAAGTTGTACGAGTAATACTAAATAAAGAACGAGGTTACCGAAATGACGTAATTTGAAAACCAGACTAATCTCAACAATAAGAATCGATGGCTTGTGTATTTTATTTAAACTTCAAACATTTTAAGCACTCCAGTAGGCCACTTTTTAAAAAGCAGTTATAGGGATGCGCTCGAATTATCCCACAGAGGTTGTATTTGCTGCTAATGCAGACTGTGTTTCATACACTTGGAATTTGGCAAAATAAACCTTCAATCGAATACCGCTGTTTGAGACCTGTTATTTATTCAGGCAGGAAATATTAACGTTCAGCATCTTTCTCCAAAGCTGGGGCAGCTACTTTCTCTATTTTAATATCCAGAGTACAGCAGTGGGCTAAAATTAGCCCTGAAAGTTTAAGTGTACTTTCAGAAATGTATCGCGTCGGGCATATAGGCTTGTCAATATCGTCTGTGCAGCTCTTCATCGGCTAATTGGAAAATTCCAGTTTAATCGACGCTCAGGCCAGACTGCGTTTAATGTCCCGACTGTTGAAACAAACAAAAACCAAGAGACAACTCATGCAGGTAGGCTGCGAATTTAGTTTGCAAATCCGTGGAGCCGTCCCCGGAGTCGTGGCGCCCTTAATCGCGGCTGTCGTGATTCCGTTGTTGTTTATTTACTATCTTTATTGAATTTTAAATGTAAAAAGACTCAAAGCTCTGTTGTTCGCACATCATTCTTCGGCATTTGGATGCGATAACGGGGTAAACAGACGCGTTGTTTGTGGGGATCAAGGTTTATCAATGCGAGGGTTTTCGTGTGTGTGGAGCGGGAGACAGGACGGGGGGGGGGTTGGCGAGCGGCACAGAAATCGGCAGCCATCATAAACAGTCATGTATTACGTACAGCATCAATGTGCTCAATGCAGACAATCGCGAATTAGCCAGTGGATAAGATAATTAGCACCCTTTGCAGCTCTGAAAGGAGCCGGGACGGAGCTGTTATCTCTCAGGCTCAATGGTTATAGAGTCTAGGCTCTATAGACTGCTGTCTCCACGCTCGATAACGCGCTATGTCTCGGCTAATAGGCGATTAACTATTACCCGGTACATCAAAGGACGTATGGACTGGGAATCCAACACAAACATGTCGGGACAAATAGGAATAGTCCCTTTACACTGTAAGAACACCCCATTAAAAAAGTATGTACAGACTTCACTCACTGTTACTCTACATATTGCTTTGAATTATCCCAACGCGATTAAAAAATTGGATTGGAGAACTGTTTGGCCTCTGATATCACCTTGTTATGCAAGGTCTCTGGGCAGCCCTCTGAGTCCCCGGGGACGATCAACACACATAATTTCACAGCGTGTCCAGCCTTCTATTTAGAAATTCTTTTCTTTTCTTTATTTTATTGTCTTCTTTTATTTTATTTGGAATAAGCCAAACCCAATAAAACTGATTTGTGTGGCAGACAAGGTTGGTAGACAAAACTGGAATGTGTACGTTTCGGTGTTTTTACGTGACTTTCTCTCACTCTCTACTGTTTTTCCTTACCTCGGTTGTTCCATACGTCCTAATCTCTGGATATACATTTGATTACATCCAGGCGCATAAAAGACCGTGTAGACCCGATAGTACATCGCGCATTACGCAAAAAAACTACTATCGGGAAAACCCAAAGATTCCAGGAACGTAGCCTTTATAATTATTTTTATCTGAAATGCAAAATGTGCACTTTTTAACCCGCGTTATCTGTCCGTTGGATAAACCCGATTGTGTTAAATCAATCACCCTCATTCTCTGCCGAGCACCACACAGTTCGTGTACACTCACAAGGCTTAATGTTGTTAAATGTTAAAGCGGTGATACACTGCGTGCAGGTATTCATTACAAAGTCAACAGATTTGACTGATTAACGCCACGGCAAACACAAGGACAACATCAGACCAAAAAGCAAAACAACAACGCGAGTTTTCCGGTTTCGCTTGTTGGAAAATCTCTGTTCAAGACATCTTATTTAACAGGGATTCCCCGTTTACACATAAAACCCAACTGAAATCTGAGAACATGCAGTAATGCAACGTGCTATTAATGCATCATTAAAGCAGAACTGCAGGTCGACAGCACCCTAAGCGCCGTCCCAGCCAATCTGGCGAATAAGAGCACTGATGTTACAACACACACACACAAAACTGATGTTACAACACGCAGAGCGAGAGAGAAATGTTCAGATGAATCCCAGATGCCCCCGGTTCTGCATTTCTATATAACACCGACAAAACCCACCCAAGCGCATGCTTTTGTGGGTTTTATATAGGGCAATAAACATCGATTTTCAACTCAAACACCTAGAAATTATATTTGCATTTTTTTCAAATTTCAAATTTCTTCACGAAAAATTTCTTTTGTTCACGAAGAAAATCAACACTTATTAAGTGCTGTCTATGCAGCCATCTGACGTGGTGTTCCAAGCAATCCCTATTGCAATTCTTTGTGTCCAGTTTTGTCCTGTGAGCTTCACTCTGAATATAAATGATCAGGCTGTTGCAGCTTCATGTTCCAGTGATGTGCTGCCTCCACTGTGAAGCGTATTGAGAAATCTAGACATGAAAGACACTATATTCATCATTGTTATTATTATTATTATTATTATCATCATCATTATGGACCAGTTTCTACACAAAGCTCTCCGACACATCCCAGATATATCCCAGACTCCAGCTGCACAGGCTGTAGGATCTTGGGCTTGCCTCCTGGAGTCTCTCCCAGTCCTGAGCCACAGTAACCCTGGTGGCTCAGGACTGGGAGAGCTGTGGAGCCTCCGACAGTCCGTCAGCACAGTCTGTAACAGCATGGGGCAGTTCCCGAACTGCGAAACAACAGCGATATCATAACCTTTTGGTATAATTTAATTTAAAAAATGTTAACGCACATCGGCGCAGCATAAGCTGTCTTTCTGAGAACGATGCCACATTTCACACAATGATACTGAGTCTTGTATTTGGTAATGAAAGAAAAATCAACCTGCACACTCCGCAGAAACAAGGTGGAGGGTTAGGGGTTTAGTTAACAGCTGTGTTGTTTATTAACTTTCCTGCAACAAGATCATATCCAAACCAGACAGTCTAGTATCAAGAGAGATTGTGTATTCAACCAGACACACAAGACACTAACAACCCAGTTTATGCTACAATAAGCAGGACTTGCTGCCACACAGACACTGCCCAGATTAATTAAATATACCATGCCTTTCTAGAGCTGTGTCTCACTCTCTCCTGCTTGTACACTAGTACTACAACAGATCAGCCAGGCACAGCTCTTGGGAACATTACTCCTGTCATCCCTGTCTATACACAAGGAAACAAACTGTATTTCAGCTAAAACACTCATGGATGGCAGATTCCTTGGAATTATTCAAAGGTTGCTTGGGTGAGATACCGGAATCAATATAAGGCAGAAATACACCTAATATTGGTTAATAAACTAATGTAATATAACTAACTATATATCAGGCACCCAAAGAAGGGTCCATAGCCAAAACTTTGTGGTTTCTTCTCTTTTCAGCATGGAATAAACCTATTACTTGTTCCTTTACAGCCTACGCATGCTGACACAGCTCCCCACCTGAACTATATGTCTAGTTCACTAATATAGTATGACGAGCAAGGCTGGCAAGTTGGCCTACAGATTTTTTGCAGCCTTTCTAGTGTTGTCATATTCTCGCTTGCTGGATGTGTTCCCAGTGCTATTAGCCATTTGTTAGGCCAAGAGCATCATCAGGCGGCGTCACTGTGAGATCACGGACGCTCCCAACAAATGTGTATCGACTGAATTGCCCCTCCACTGAAAATAATGGGAGACAGTGAACGGGCATTACTGACAATTAAAGGAGTTTCCCAGGGAGCCGCAATCCACAGCAGCTACATGCAGGTTGAACTTGCTCCATCCCCCCGCCCCAAGTCAACACCCCCAGCATGCACACATAGATTAGAGACACAGCCTTGCAGAGGGAAGGGACTGGGGGCGGGGGGGAGCCATCCCCAGACTCACTGGAGCCAGGAATTAATGGGTTCATTCCCAGTCGAATGAGACGTCTTAATTACCACACTTGTGAAAACTCAGAGGGGCGGGGCAGGAGGGGAGGAGGCCTGCTTTGATCTTCTCCTAAACGAATTGCAAATGAAGTGGCCGAATCCTTCATAAATACAGCAGCCCGCAGCCAGGGAGGCCAGCAAAGGCTAAGGGAGAGAACCGCTGGAACTGGAGGAGCGCACTCGGCCATCTCTGCCTACATCACCAGGGGACTCCTGCGGAAACCGGACAGCTGGGCTCTCCGGGGGCTGAACAACTACTTTGCCAGTTGAAAAGACTTGGGATTTACTGCAGGCTGAAAAACAGGATTTACTTAAAATACTTTCTTCTTTCTTTCGCCTTCTTCCTTGATGAAGGTGAGGGTTTATGAGATTTAGCTGCCGCATTCTCCTGCAAGGAATACATTTGCACACAGGCTCTACTCTTACGAACTCTATAGACGGCGACACCATGAAGGGACACTTCTCCGTAGAGTGGCTCTCCCAGAGTAGCCAGAAGACCAGGCCAGCAGCCCGCTGTGACGTGGTCACAGAGGAGCCCTGTATGTCCAGCACTCCCCCGGAGAGCTTGCCAGGGTTCTACAACAGCCAAGAGGGGCGTCCCATCTACCAGGAGCTGCTGAGAGGCAGGCCGTGGACTGGCCAGGACACCCCCTCTCTCTCCCAGCGCCCAGCCCCAAACCCGGGCACCAAAACTGACCCGCAGGCAGGCTCCCATGGTAAGGAAATTCCCTTGGGGAAAAAACTTTACTGCCCACTTTTAAAACTTTGTTGTTGAAAGGCACATCAGCGTTTGACTTTGCAGGAAATCGCAAGAAAGCAGATTATCTCATCTCGTGTCTCATGGAGAGCAAGCTGGGGTATGCGAAAAGATAATTCCTAATGCTAGAAATTGTAAAGGGTTAATAAAGTAATGTTATTATTATAGTAATGTTATTATAGCTCAGTTTGTTTCCTTGTGAATTCAGTGCTGGTGACCTGAGTTGCATCTTGTCCTTCTCGCTGTAGTGAGGTATAGGAGATCTGTACTTATAGGTCACTTTCGATTTGGAACCAATACTGATGAAGGGAATATTGCAGCAAAAGTACTGACTTTCTGTCAAGGGTTAAAAACCAAGCATTTTGCTCTGCCTGGCTGTGGCTCTGCTGTACAATACAGAGAACACAGGCCTGTGAGCTCTATAGGAGTCTTCCATCCACACACTGCTGAGCCTCTGCTCAATCAGGGGAACATATTACTAAGAAACTAGTAAAGTAGTCGGGCCCCCTCTATTCTTGGCCAGGCATACAGACATCACAGGCATTGCATTACTGACACAGGAGGTAGTAGGTGTTAATTCAGTATTTCATTTTGACGTCATTTTCAGGGACTTTATGTTGGAAAATTGTTTCCTCTTTCATTCATGCTGGTTCAAAATGCTTCCTGATACAGGAAAGTTGTACACTGCACTCTCCTGTTCTTCAGCCTTGCTCAATTTGTTCACTAGCGGCTTCAAAGGCACTGTTGCTTCTGATAGCTGTACCATGTCATCTGCGCTGTTTACTGTTTCATGCTCTTTCACACTCAGTGAACCTGCTGAGCTGTATGTAATGGTGTAACTATCCTGGCTCATGCAACTTAAATCTGTGTTAAGTGCTTAAATCTGTGCAGTTTCCCAGCTTAGTAGTTCAAGTAGGGAGCTGCGTCAGCATGCGTAGGCTGCAGAGGAACAAGTAAAGGTTTATTCCCAGCTGAAAAGAGAAGAAAAGAAACGTTTTACCTGTGGAGCTTTCTTCCTAAATCTGTGCTCTCTGTCCCCACTCAGCGCTTGAGCCAGAGATCGCCAGCGGCACAGAGGAAGAGGAAACGTCAGGGTATGAGAGTGAGGGGGGTCAGTCAGCCTCCCCCGCTGACCCACCAGGCGGCTCCTCCTCCTCACCACCGACCCCTCCAGGGCGCCGGCCGCGCACAGCCTTCACCTCCGAGCAGATCAGCCGGCTGGAGAGGACCTTCAAGAAGCACGCCTACCTGGGCACACGCGAGAAGGAGGAGCTCTGCAGGAAGCTCAACCTCTCCGAGAAGCAGGTGGGCATCTCCAAGGCGCCTGATTCTAGCCCCTGAGGGCCAGACAGTTTCTGGTCGTCCTGCTACCTGAGCCCTTAATTAGGATATTTTCCTAGTTCTTGAGAAACTGGAAATCTAGTGGCCCTTAAGACTAGTGTTGGGCACCCCTGTATTATGTCCATCATGCATTCATATAGTTCCTCATTGAAATATAATTTACGATTTACGATTCCCATAAGGCATTTCAACATGCTATATTGTCAGCTACATAAAAACCGGCCACCTCCCAAGCAGGCTCAACCAGTAAAGATGCTCACATGAGCACCGGCTGAGCTCTGATTGCGGGTTCGAGCCTGCGTCATGTCACTAGCTGACTGAGCAGGATTCTCGATGCTCAGAAACACTGACCCCTGCAGTCTCCCAGGCGCTGGCAGGCGTGGCAAGACTAGAGCAGCTCAAAGGAGCAGCTCCTTCTCCCCGTATCAAGCCGATACAGGAAAACCACACACCGCTGGCCAGAAAAAAAAATTCTCTTTATGGGAGAATCTTGTGAAGTGGATGCTAAATCCATTGCTATCCCTGCAAGGGAGGTTCAGGCTACCTCGGCCCCACTCATGCTCTCTCATACTTCCTCCCCAGATTAAAAACTGGTTCCAGAACCGCCGGATGAAGCTGAAGCGCACCCTGCAGGACGCCCTGGCCCAGGCCTGCCACGTCAAGGTGGCCTCCCAGCTGCTGCACTACCCTGAGCTCCAGGCTTTCGGGCCTAGTGCCTACTCTGGCTACTACCCAAATCAGGACAGCACAGCGGCCTACCTGCCCCTCCCGGGACTGCCTTATGCCCCATCCCAAGCGCTGGGACACCTGTCTGCGCTGCCGCTGGAGGCACAAGTCCACCCGTACAGCGTGCCACCCTTCGTCATGCCACCCCACAGTGCAGGCACTGGCAGCCCCCCCGTCATGGCACGGTACCACCCCTATGCACCCCGTTATTAAAGGGGCTGCCGCGGACTCTCCCACAGTAATTGGAAATGTATCCCTGCGGCTCTGTGGGGCCCACATTCCGGTACGAGCAAGGACACTAGTTTGGCTCTTGGGAGAAACTTTCCCAGAACAGTCCCCCAGTGGGGTCTGCATTGCATCAGTCCCACACTGCATTCTAGAGCCTGGGGGTGAGGAGGCTGGATCTGTTCTCTCTCTCCTGGTGTAGGAGACAAAAAGGACACTCCTGCTGGACCTGGACAACAACTCACTGTGTCAGCCAGGAAGAATCTGTGCATCCCCGCCACTGGCTGGATCAAGGAATCCTCTGTTTCTGCCTTTAGGGATTACCTGTGTTCTCCCTCCCAAAGTAGTAAGCTGTATTAGCAACAGTCCTGTTGCAACAGGTTGTAGAAGCAGAAAACTGCGCTCTCTGGAGGCTTTAAGCCCATTGTTGGTGCTCAAATCTGTAACGTGACAGCAGAGAACATGTTACCTGGGAATGTTATGAACTCTTGATCTCTGAGAATTAGAAGACACATTCTGTAATTGTACTGGGGTTTACAAAAGCCAGGGCATAGTGCAATAATTATTTTCCTGTCTTTGTTTGTGTTGTCCTGTGATGTAATATTTAAATCACGAAATGTACATACTATATTATTTCTAAATGTATAGTATCATTGAGATTGTCGATTTAATCAAAAATGTCATTAATAATTTTTTTTGTTTGATTTTTTTTGTTTCTGAAGAAAAGAGTTTTCAAAAATATATTAACTTTTTTTATTCTGATATCCTTGTGCCTCCTTGATTTGCTTGGATACTGACGCATTTCATCAGTATTTTTATCGTCAATCAAGACACCCAAATGGGAAGGTATTTGATTAAATGTACGAAAATGAGAACCCACTGATAAGCAAATGGATAAGTTCGAAAGAGATGAATGGCACAAGACAATTCTTTTTTTCTTGTGATCCGATCATGAACCTTTATCAGTACTTGAGCAGATTAACAGAACTATTTCCAATATCGTTCTCAATTGTTATCGCGTCGTATCATTAATGCTGTTATCTGCTGCTGCAGCGTTAGTGTTCTATTATACTGATGTTGTCACTCCCGGACCTGCATTGCGAGTTCAAACTTCTGCTATCAAATTTCTGACGCACTGTAATACATTTTCGAGAAACGGCCGTAAGGGTTAAACGAAACACTGTTTAAAACCAGGTCTTTTTCCCCCTCCCCCAAAATTTTTAGTTTTTTTGTTTTACGTAGGCCGTGCCCGCTGCTCACCGTCGAAAACACCTTAACACATTTGTTTTAATTGACACATGTTTTCACTTCAAAAAAGAAAACGTCGCATACATTTTGATTCGGAAAATGCCCCGTTTCTGCGTACGTCTCCAGCTGGATGTGTGGATGCTGGAATCTCCAATTCTTCCATTAACTAGGTAAAAACACGGCTGTGTCAATCAAATGATTTCTAGCTGCGGGACACAAGACGCCTTGCGCGCCAGTCAGCCCTGACTTCAGGCAACAGTTGATTCCGGGTGGTGAAGGGGGGGCTCGCCAATCATTAAAATGCAGTGAATAACATGGATCTTAACTCTGGTGACGAGAACCTGGGATTGTCGTTAGGGCTGGATGTGGTGGGTTTTGTGTTTTTTTTTCTGCGTGTATTGGAGTTGCGGAAAATCTCACGTTACAATTGCAGTCCTCACTGGAAAAGAGGTCGTAACATTTTCATCTTCCCCTTTTTAACTCTCACCACAATAATCATAAAGTTTAAAAATGCATCTAAATGCATTTTTGGGGAAAATAATATGCGTTTTGTTTATATGCCACATTGGGTTTTACAGGGTTTATTTTTAAGTCTAATGAATTTCTTGGTTGGTCCTAAAACAACGTATAATAATAATAAGTAGTTCAAAGTAGGTAGCTGCAAAGGAACATGCCATAGGTTTATTCCATGCTGAAAAGAGAAGAGAGAAAACACAACATTTCAGCTGTGGAGCCTTCTTCAGGTGTGGTGACGCCTTTTTTACAGTATAGAGCGCCCCCTACTGGTGCTACTGATACTACTGATCAGGCTTACAACAACCTCACTTCTCATTAATGAAACACTTTAATACCAAGTCAATACAAAAAATAAGAATGTAATATATACAGCGCCTTGCAAAATTCTAGGGTGTATCTGGGTCTTCCACTTCTTAATGATCATCTTCACCACGATCAAAGAGATATTATGAGTCTTTGGACTCTTCTTCTGATCTATACCTTTCTCTGCAACTTTATGCCTGATTAGGTTTGAAAGCTCCTTGGTCTTCATGGTTTAAATTGGCTGACGGAGGCGCTTTACAGAGACGGGTGTTTTTATTCTGAAAGCACAAAAATATTTTTGAACACTGAAGACACAATCATTTTGCTTTGATACGACCTATTTAGTTTTTCTTGCGTTGAAGGTGTGGAGCGGATTGTGTATTTAACAAATATTGATTCCTACTTCAAAGTATCATCACTGCAAGCTTTAATGCAACAAAATGTGAAAACTGTGCAAGGATTAGAATACTTTTGCAAAGCATTGTATATAAAACAGTAAACTACTATGTGCTCATTCATACTTAAAATTACATATCTAAAATATAAGCAGTGTGTCACACACACTTGAATTAATTTAAACTATGATTATGAAATAAATATCCTAGTTGTGTAGAATTGTTATCATTAATCATACAGTACATTAGTACCGCAAAGGTTTATATGGAATACAGTACATTAGAACGGTTTCTCGCTAAAAGCAATTCTTTACAATTGCTCGTCAGAGAACTATCTTATAGCGCCCCCTGCTGTTACTTTTTTAACATTTAAAAATATTACACTTTATTTTCATTAAAAAAATGTTTTTAGGTTGTAATTGTTTTAAGATTGTTAATCGTAATTCTTCATTAAAACTTCGATTCAAAGTGTGCTATAAAATTTTAAAAATAATGCTTTAATTGGTGTCTATATGTGTATGATTTACAGTACATGTATACGTGGTAAGTCACATTTATTTGGGTAAAAAACGAGTATTTTTAAAAGCATGTATAAATAAAATTGTATTATTTCATGTGATAAGACTTACATTCTACCATCAACATGTGAAAAACATTTTTGTATCGCTTGGTTACACAAGTCTTGAACTAGTCTAATTACCGTCCATATCGAGAAGTCATCCTCTCCAGCACGACTACATATTTCGCCTTTTGCTTATTTTGATACTAGAGGCGCCCCTATTCAAGACAATTAAACATTCTGTTTTTTAAATGGGAAACACAATCGGCCACAGTCAGGTTTAGAGGGACGTCACGTCACGAAAATGCAAAATACCAAGCATAACGCAGAGGACGCAAATGCATATATATAGCAAGTAAAACTATCTCAGTGTGTACTGTATTGCAGAAGACATGGTCTGATTTTAACTGAACTGTAGTTACCAATCCCAGCGTTGGCTTTGGATGTAATTCGGCCGCTTCCCTTTTTAATATGAGCTCCTTGCGTGCACCAGATGACCTTTTTCAGTTTCAGTACAGAGACAGGGAAGTTCTTTTCGAAGCAAACAGTTCATGCAGACTTCACATTTCCTCAGGAAATGGCCATTCAAGATTCTTAGACCAGTTTGGAAATCGTGCCTTGTACAGTGCCAATCAAACACATGGAAAGCATCGTAGCAATACAGTGAGCAGGACAGTACCCTGCATCAGCTTACAGAGAGCAAGAGCCACTTCTTCACCCAAAGGGATGCAGGAGTGTGGAACAAGGCAGCCAGCCATGTGGAGCTCTTCCCCCTTCTTCTTCAAGAAACAGCTGGATAAGAGGCTTGGATCAATTAACAACCATCTAGAAAATGGTCTAATCTTTGGTCTGTAACAAGTTCAGAGATGCTTATTTTGGATAAAGTGAAACTGGGGTGAGTTTGAGGTAATTTGGGGGGGCTAGCAGAAGTTTGAAGTCATTGGTAGTGGGCTAGCAGAATTACTGCAGCACATTTATATACTACATGCAGTGTGGACTGCAAATTTTCTTCACATAAATGAGACTATTAATTCAAACTTCTGCAAAACACAACTGACCTGAAATGTTTCCAGTTACAGTTGTGACATACCGATATAAAAAAAACTTTAAAAAAATCAATGAACTGGTATTTTTTTTCCTGTAAAAACTGCATATCTTTGAATGGTACTTTGTCACTTTAAAACTTTCTAAGAACACCCTAATATGCTGAGACAAGGGTGCTATAAAATGGGGTTCACATCAAAACAGGGAAAGCCACTCAAAACCAGATAAAAATAGTGGAGTATTGAAATGGCAAAACGGAATTACACACAGCAGCTCTGTGTGAACAGTTAAAACCTATGTCAACTTCCACAGAATATTATACCATCATAGACAGATGCATACAATGTGGTGCTGATTGTAAGAGAAAATATTTATGATTGAACAAAGGACTAGGGCATTGCAGTAGTTGGTATTCACAGTACTCACAGTATTGGAGACCTGGGATTCAATCTGTGTGAGAATTTGGATGTCCTCCCCATGTTTGCATAGGTTTCCTACCACAGTCCAGACATACTCGTAGATTAATTGGCTTCTAGTGTCTGTCTGCCTTGTGATGGAGTGGCAACCCGTCCAGGGTGTATCCTGCCTTGTACCTGTTATTTGCTTATAGGCTGCAGCTCCTCTGCAACAATGAATTGGCTGAAGCACGTAGAAAACAGATGATGGGTGAATACAGGACTATCAACACGTGGACCTTCCAATCCACTCTAGTACTTTGTAAAAAGCATTGCAAGTGTTATTCTGATGCAGCAAATTATTAATAAAGATCAATAAAGGATTTTAGTGTAGCATATCTATGAACCTAAGTGGACAGAACAGGTTACAAGCTGCTTATCTCTGAGCTAAAGCTAATTTTTTAAAACGCAATTATGCTGGTACACCCTAAGGCTTAGCATTAACAGCCACAATCCCAGCTTTAACTTGTTAATGCAACACATTTCATTCTCGCTCCTTCTGAAGTGAGGCACAGATGGGATAACATTTGCTTCTCAGCAAGACAGGACACCCAAGAGGTGTTTACAAAATCAGGTTTGCTTCAAGGTGAGATATCAATATACGAAGTTAAACCTTATTAAAACTATACAGCGATAAACTGAATCTTCAAAACAAACAATAACTGGATGTGTGAAACCATTAGAAAAAACACAGCGTTTAGGATGTTCAATACTGTTCAGATCACCCGCACAAGTCTCTGATCAGTCATTCAATGTTTTTTACTGATCATACAAGCCAGCTCTCTCTTAGCAGAGTGTGTCTGTAGAGGTTTAAGATAAAGAATGCATTACCAGATGAGACTCTGCTGCTCCTTAATGTAACCAGAGAACCATTTCCCGCTCTCCGTTATCAGAAATCGTGAGAGCTGTATCAACTCATAGCTCATGGCAAGTCCATTATAATGTCAGACACTTATTTTTCATGCCTAGTATGTTATGAGCTCAGTTATTCCCAAATTGAATGGGAGAACTTCAAATAAAAAACACTTGCGTGTTGTTTAACTGTTAAACATTTTCAATGCAAAGGTACTACCTTTTGTAACAAAATCTAACTTTTTCTTCAAGCACAAAACCCAACATATATACTTTGCATTACATGCCAAAATGAGCTTATTAACAGAGTTAATATTCAGCAATTGTCTTTAATGTTTAGAAAATGATCCACTGTACATTGATAGGCATTATTCTGGTAAGCTAGAACCACATTTAATACAACCCTTACAACCCAGAACCCTACCTAAAGAATATGAGTCACTGAGAAAGTTCCACGCGTGACCATTCTTGTTCTTGATTTAACATAAAAGGGAAGAGCACTAATTAAGCAGGACGACTATGATGGCACCCTGCTAACAATTTAAAAATTAGAGAATTATACAAACTAACAATTTAAAAAGTTAGTTAAAAGGTCACCCTTCTGTATCAAATAAATAAACACACAACACATTTTTCTTTTGTAAAAAATGGTTTAACAATTCCATTTTTTTGTATAAAACACTGTTGACCCTTAGCCAATCATCAAATTTTATGCCACAACATGACAAGGTACATTTTGTTTCTTCTGTCCGTCAAACAAAAATCTAAAAGAAAGGTACAAACGTTTTATATATTTTTTTGCAGTTTTCTTTGTTTTGTATTATTACAACGCAAAAATCTAACAATTTGTTTCTTTCCAAGTTTAACTACGTTAAAAAAAAACACCAACAAAAAAAACGAAAACAAACTCCCAGTCTGTCCTTCAGCTGCATCTGTCCCTGATACAGAACAGCAGGAGGGACACATTGACTCCACTCTGCTCTGCTCTTTATGCGGTCTTCTGCTGGCCCTTCTTCCCAATGAGGGACTTGTGGATGTGGGGAATGACACCTGAAGAGAGAAAAAGATTGTTAAGTAAGCACCGGGACAGGTCAAGTCTACAAGTAAGTGAAGAGGTGTCCCTGACCCTGGTACTGGGGAGTTCTGAAGTGTTATAGTGCAACCGAAATCGCCCTTGGTTAACTCTACCAATGACAGGCTTTGCTACGATCTACACCGGTTCTGGACCTAAACCTAAAGAACTGTGGCTTTGCAGGACCGTGGCCTGGGACTACCTGACACACAGGTGCTGCTATGGCTAAGCACTCTGACTCACCTCCTCCAGCAATGGTGGCTTTGATAAGCGAGTCCAGCTCCTCGTCCCCACGGATGGCAAGCTGCAAGTGACGGGGAGTGATACGCTTCACCTTCAAGTCTTTGGAGGCGTTCCCTGCCAACTCCAAAACCTGTAACAGACGCACTTTTTAAAGCCCCTTTCTACTACAGTGTGCTGTACATTCAAAGCAGCACATTTATTGCCGTCTCCAGTGCCATCGTATGATTTGCAACTAACTTTAAAACCTCCGAGATCAACTGAACATCAAAGTCGGTCTCCTAAGCATCCCAGAACAAAATGTCCAAAGAAATCTCCCCATGTTGTTAAAAGCATGCTTTAGCGTTAAGATTGCAAAGGGCGGAAAATAAGGTCCACATATTCAGAAACATGAATTCACTTTATTACTCATAATAAATGCATTAACTAACAGACAATGGTCTTTTTTTAATTGAAGAAAATACAAGACAAAGCTACTAGCTATTGTCTTACAACTAAACACCACAATGCCTGGAAAGGCTATAAACATTAAATTCACAAAGCTGACATCAAGTTAGAGTCTTTGCCAATAAACACAAACTGAACAGACCAGCTTTACAAGTCTTCGTAGCCAAGAAACTTCCATAGCTGCAACTCCTTAAGTATGCACTTGCAGAAAATATATTTAAAGTAACATTGAGTTACTTTAAATGTCAGATACCTGCTGAAATACATCAGATGTAATCAGGTTCAGGTTTAATAACCAATTAAGGTAAACACTGCATTCAGTTTACATGCAGATACAATTTTTGTATAGATACTGCTAAATTGTGAAGCACAAGAAGTAGTTTCAGAATTACAGACAGCACATTAGATTTTACAAGAAAAATGATGCAGTCTATCCTTTCCTTAGTATGTCTCTTTTAGATGCATTTTGGAAAATGAACGAGAAATGAATTCTAGTTAATTACATAACTCTTTTACATAACATTGCAAATATTTTTAAAACAAGCTGATTTATGCTAAAGATGTTATAATGCTGCAGCTAAATCCCTTATCCAGATTTCCTAGCTCCGTGCAGACAGTGGGGACAAGAGCAGGAGCAAAATGAGTTTATAAAGCTGCGATAGGTATAGAAAGAAAGGCCCAGGACTGTGGAGTTTGTTTCAACTAAAATAAGAAAAACAAATTAAAAACAGGCTCGGGGAAAGATCAGAAGCAGAACTGCCTTTGTTCTATGTCAGTCCAGTAAAAGGAAACGCTCATGGGAAGTTATTTATATACACAAAATGCATACAATGCCATTGCCCATATCGTTGAAATACAAAAGCAGCAGGACAGAAAAGCCTATAGAATTCCACACAATGTGGAGTATAACAGTAACTGTTATATTAGTAAAGAAATACCTGATCAAGAAGTCTTACCAAGCCTCTCTTGATATCAATCTATTACTGAAAATCAAACATCAAAGCTTGTCCCAGATTCAGCGCAACAGACAACCCCAGTGTTGTGGCACGGAAAGGAAAATGTCTTGCAAGTATGGGTGAGTGAACAGGAGTCTCACCTCAGCAGTGAGGTATTCGAGGATGGCAGCGCTGTACACAGCTGCCGTAGCCCCAACACGCCCGTGGCTTGTAGTGCGAGTCTTCAAGTGTCTGTGGATACGGCCCACTGGGAACTGAGAGGAGATACAGAGAATAAAGCTAAATTGACTCTCAAGGCAGGAAATTTAGGTTTTAACTCCAAATGTGATCTGCAGACCATTTTTTCCTACATAACAGTTATTCTACATAACATAAGGCACATTCCCCCCACATTTCAGGGTGGAGCATATATTAGAATACAAGTAAAAACAAATTCAGAAGTTGATCTGGTTGTTGACATTTTTACCAGAAGAGTACTGAACAGCATTTAACTGTCTGTGCGTACTGTAATGGTTCCAGTCTGTTGTTGTTACAGAGTGGAAAAAAACTAAACAACATGGGAACCATAGGGCTGAAAGGCAGTGTAGAGTGGATTCATGATAAAAGTTTAAAGCTCTCAAGGCAGCTTTACAGCTAAACATTCCAATTCCATAAGTCAAAGTGTCCCATGCCTGAACAATGTGTTTCACAAGGAGGAATGGGTTTTATCATTATTGTTTTGGAGATTGCATTTGGGTTAGCTTTAATCTCATCTCTGCAAAGACGCCTTGTTTCCCGAGCCCCTTCCCCCAATTTCTGTATACTGTATAACTTGTATTTGGTCCCTCACTTAATTTCCACTTCAATTCAGAAAGATAACTTATGATTTGTAAAGTTCTGTTTCCAAATTCCACAGTCAATTTCTGGTTGTGGTGTGTTCAGGTGAGTAGAGAGTAGAGCAGTTTATTGGCATATGTACATGTACATTGGAATCCTTATGCATCGTTCTCTCAGGACATGCATAGTACTGAAGGAACACCACACAACGTAGACAGTACATTAAAAAGCCGTACGTAATAGTGGTAGTACATACAGTCAAGAAATAACCAGAACAGTAACAATAAATGTGTGGTAGTCCCAAGTCAAAATTGCATAGTGCAGAGGTGCAGTGAGTTCCGGTGAATACAGCAAGCAAAGGGGGGAAAAAAAAGATACTGAAATACATTTATCCCCAGCCAAACAATTTTCCAGCTGTATAAACCAAAAAGGACCTTGTTTTACACTAGCAACAACTTTATTCCTTCCTTGCGAAACAGGATGAGCGATGGATAACAGCTGGATGGGGTTACCTGCAGACCAGCCCTCTGTGAGCGAGACACTGCTTTAGCCTTGGCTTTGCCACTGTCCTTGCCAGCTTTACCTCCTGCCTGGGAGAGGAGAGTCACGAGTTAACACAAGAACCAGAAACATAGCTCAAACATGTGCAAACAATTCAAAACAATTTAAACAGAACACAAAACACTCATGTAAGCAACCCATCTGATCTGTATAAATTATGATTCGTGTAACTAATTTAATCATTGTCATCCATTACAAATCTGGCTGTGACAGATTCTTGCAACAGAACAAAATAACAGCTGAACATGCTGAGCTGGGCCAATCAAAAAGTTATGCTGTAGAAAAAAAAAATGACATTTAAAAAAAGCAAGTACACTACTCCTTATCTGATCTGAAAGACAGAACATGGTGAAAACCTAATTAGATAAACAATGCATTACTTCCATTGATTATGTTGTATTTCTATAACGCATATCAGCTTTAAATTAGGTCTAAACATTATTGTTGGCACACAATCATGAGCAGGTTTCCTGTCCAGCCATAGTGTGCTCTTGAAGCAACTTGCCACCAGAAACCAGCTCAAGGATCTTCAAATCAAATCAGAAGGGGCCTTATTAAGGGGAAGGAACAAAAAAAAAACTAAGTACATCTACAAAGCTCCTTAAATGTCATCACGAGTTTTCTTAGATATAGCTGATAAAATGCTAGAGGGAAAAGCACTAAAAGAAAGTCACATTTAGTTTGCAATTCAGTTACAATTTAACTGAAACTCTAACTGAAAGTCAGTCCAGGTCACAAATGTCATATCTAAAAATCACCAAATCTAATTAAACCAGAAGATCTGAATTAAAAAAAGAGCATTTAAAATCTAGATCTAATTTAGCATTTTTTAACAAAATACAGAAAATGGCACCTCTATAATTTAGGAGTACTAGATTTAACACAATTAAACTTTAAACCATTCTTCAACTTTACATCAGAGTCCTTTATGCATTAACTGAACTATATTGATCAACAGTTGTGTAAATAGTGTTACTTTCACCACTTAAAACATCTAAATCCATAAAAACAGAATCCTTAAAATTTACACCTCGTTTTAGTATTGCAATTATTCTTATATGAAAGGACTTTTCTAAAACCTTAAGCTGTATCAACACTACATTGTCAATTTCAAAAACACACACAAACTCGGAAACTAGACAATCAATACTGAGTGGCAGCAGGACATTTTTAAGGGTTGCAACTAATCTGAACAAATATCCTATGTATAATTTAGTTCAACTGATGAAAGTACACAGAAGACAGCAACGCTAAATATACTGCATTAAAATATTACTTTTTTGTGTTTACCTCAGGATGCACAACGTACTTAAACACGGGGATTTAAAAGATTATTTTCTCACACTACTTACAAGCCCGTGGAAAGTTCAGTCCAGGCCATATCTGACTCTCCTATGCAGACTGTATGACTAAACTCATTAAATGCACCAATCTATAGATCAGACACATTGAACAGCTTAAAATGCATGATGTTTACACCATCGCTAACAAAATGACCAATTTCAAATCACATACACTACAATTATTTAAATCCGCAGCGTCAAAAACAAAAACTGAAGCGAAGTAGCTTTCATTAAAGAACGCCAGTCTTCAAGGAACGGAGGCCAAGTTCAAAAGCCCTTCTCTCTTCTTGAATAAAGCAGGGCGCCTACTCCTTGGGTTTATCATAGATAACGTCTCCGTTATGAATGGATGCACAGATGCACCGCCCATTGTAAATATATACTTTACAATCAGGACCGTCTGACCTATGAGAAAGTCTTTCTGAATATGTTCGTAAATATGTAATTTGATTCCCTTCCAAATCCTGAAGCAAGCGCGCACTTCCTACAAAACTCTCACTGTACAGTTGTATATACTGTACAGCGCTGTAGACCGTCTAAGTAGACGCTGTTTGTACTGGAGCCCCCTAGCTCGAGTCCTCGTTACAAGTAGGCACCCCAGACACTCTGGACAAGATTACAGGCTAAACGTGCTTTTACCTGTTAAAACGTACCCAGAGAACAACAGACCACCAGGCACTGTGTTTACCGAACACGTGTGCAAAGGCTTCTGGTTTACTTACTAAACTGCATTTGAATACCGCGCCATTCATTGTTTGGAATTCAGTCATTTCACAGCGCAACTTCACCCACTCGAAAACGGAGGTCTGACGAAAACGATGCCTAAAACGAACCCGTCATAGTGCACACTAACAGCTCGCTGCCCTGCTCGAGGACTTCAACGTTGATATTTAGTTTACCACTCTCCGGGGAGAAAAAAAAAAACTATACTCTGACAAACAGATTCGATTAAAGAGAGCACACACGCCGAATAATGCCGAATTATCCTAAATGCATCCATCTCAGAAAATGATGTGCAGTGCGGCATTTGCCAAAAATAGAGAGGTAATCCCGAGGTGAGACATCTCGTATCTGCGGTGTTTTGATTCAGTAACTTACACTTTTGATTTCAGTTTACATTTACAATGGATGAAGAAAGTTCGATCGGCGGTAGCGTAGCCAGACTGCGTCTCCAAAAAACGGCTGTATTATTCGACTTTGATTCTTTATTGACCAGTTCTGTTCCATTATAAGATCTCCTTTTATCAACTTATTTTTTTTTTTTGCTTCATCTCTTCAAGCCATTTCCATACTCTTGCACTCGCATACACTCCAATCAGGACTTTTCCCGCCAACACATACTACTAACATTTGGGGGAAAAAAAAACCCTAAATGAAATAATATTTTCGAATCACGACGCAAAGGGACCTCACCCCATCTCCTTAGATGGAAAGTATCAATACAAAACATAATACAAATTAAAACATTTTTCGCGGCACATTAAACACTAAGGAAAATTGATACTTTTTCAGCGAAACCATAATCATTTATAATTAAGAAATTAAAGGAAATGCACATGTAACAAGTCCAACGAAAAAAGTCTTATTGCCCCCCCAAAACTCAGATATCCGAAATTCACATAACCACATAATGTACACTAATTGGTTACAGTATCAACATTATGAGCCCCGTAAAATAAATATCCTAAGCCTCTATAATAAAATCAAACCAAAAAAACAACAACCCAGCTCTCCCAACACTATCCGGATAACCTAACCACGTCGGCATTAATAAGAAGTGAGTAGTTAATTCGTCTAATTACCATTTTCGCTGTTTATTTATTATTTTTATTGAAATTCCTGACAGGAATCGAAGAGGTCGGAGACGATTTTCCGCTCGAGACAGAGAGAAACAATAAACCCCTCCGCGAGCTAGTGCGCGAGGGCCCTCGCGAGCAAAGCAGTGAGCCAATCGCCGCACTCGATGTTAGTTTGAAATATTTGTCCAGCCAATAGCAAGGCATATTGTAAACGGTCTGCCCTTCCCCCACCTCAATACCAGCATCAACGGCCTTTTTCCCCCTTTTTGCGCACGGACCTTCAAAGTGGGCGGGTGTGACGAGCGTTAAAAACAATCCAATCCCACATCGGTATTAAAAAGAGTGACAGATTAATCGCCCTATCAAATCAAGCCACCTAAATGAGAAGGAGAAAAAAAACATTGAAAGTTTACAGAAAGCTTGTTTTTTCTTTCTTGTGCACGTATTACGTGTTAACTTGGAAGACAGATACACACTGGCAGTGATAATTGGTACATACACTGGTAAGAAACTACAGCTCAAGACAACTCCATGTTGGCTCAGAGAGTAGGATCTATCACGCAACAATATGCGTTCCGAATATGAGCCAAAATGGCGCCTTTTTCATTCCATCTTTTCCTGGGCCAAACTTTGTGAACTGGAAGGAATGTCATCAAATTCATGATCAGATATTGATTGAAAAGCCAGTGAGGCTATAAGGTGTCCTGCTTAAGACTAACTGACGCAGCCCCTGTTCTATACAAGGACAGTCGTAGGGCAGAATTTCCGACAGGAAAACCAGGCGGCAGCCAATCGAGAAAAAAAAAAGAAATGACGATAAAGAGGGTAACGTAGGAGCCAGTGACCGGGACCAATCGAAACCGAGACAAAGGTGAAGTGCTAATGGTGGATTGATAGAATTGACCAATGACGACGATGAAGGCGGGAGAAATAGAAGTGTACGACGGCAGGAAGCGACCAATTGTAGGGCGACCTCGAATGATTGGCAGGATGGCGACCAATCGAAGGCGGGAAGAGCTCGTCTGAGGGGCGGGAGTCGGTAGCGTCCATGACGGAGGTGTGTACGGTGGCGAAGGGAGGGGGGAAGAAACGCAGGAGGGAGAAGCTGGCTGCTGGTGGTGAAGATGGCGGATGGAGACAGTGGGAGCGAGCGCGGTGGCAGTAGTGGTGGCGGAGGGGGAGCCGGCAGCGGGTTCCAGCACTTCCAGCGGGAGCAGGAGACCCAAGAGCTGGCCTCCAAGCGCCTGGACATCCAGAACAAGCGCTTCTACCTGGACGTGAAGCAAAACGCGAAGGGCAGATTCATCAAGATCGCCGAGGTCGGAGCCGGGGGCTCCAAGAGCCGCCTGACCCTTTCCATGTCAGTGGCCGCGGAGTTCCGCGACTACCTGGGGGATTTCATTGAGCACTACGCCCAGCTGGGGCCCAGCAGCCCGGAGCAGATCGCGCAGTCCTCGGGCGGCGAGGACGGCGGGCCCCGCCGCGCCTTGAAGAGCGAGTTCCTGGTGCGGGAGAACCGCAAATACTACCTCGACCTCAAGGAGAACCAGCGGGGGAGGTTCCTACGGATCCGGCAGACCGTCAACCGCGGCCCTGGGTTCGGGGTAGGCGGGGGAGGCGGCCCGGGGGGCAGCATGCAGGCCGGGCAGACCATCGCCCTCCCGGCTCAGGGCTTGATCGAGTTCCGAGACGCCCTGGCCAAGCTGATCGATGACTACGGCGGGGACGATGAAGAGCTGGCCGGCGGCGGAGGGGCCGGGGGCTACGGCGAGCTGCCCGAGGGGACGTCCATCATGGTGGACTCCAAGAGGTTTTTTTTCGACGTCGGGTCCAACAAATACGGGGTGTTCCTGCGGGTCAGCGAGGTGAAGCCCAGCTACAGGAACTCCATTACTGTGCCCTACAAAGCGTGGAGTAAGTTCGGGGGCGCCTTTTGCCGCTACGCCGAGGAGATGAAAGAAATCCAGGAGAAGCAGCGGGATAAGATGTACGAGAGAAGGGGAGACGAGTCGGAAGGCGAGGACGTAGATGACGACTGATGTAGATGATTTAAAAAGGCAGCGAGAAGCATAGTACCATGACGCAAAACGCAGAAATAATACATAAGAAAGAATATTACGTGCATGACGAATCGAACATTAATACTAAAAACAAATATCGTGGAGTTGAGTACATTTGACTGAGAAATATTGTCGTGTAAAAGAAAAAAAAAAGCTTACTCAAAAGTTTTATTGGGATTCGCAGGAGGGGGGAAAAAAGTTTTCGAGAGTAAAATGAGACGTTCTCGTTTTGGGGGTAGTATTGGGGTATCTCTTTTTTTTTTTTGTCACAAGCGCAAAGAAAAACGCCCTTTCTCTCTTGTAAACCAGCAACTCGGTTTTCACAGCCCGCTTGCGAGACAGCGGGTTTATGAAACCTTTATTTTTTCTTTGGAAATCTTTTAAAAAAAGATAAAATAATTAACGGAATTCACCTGGACCCGCACACGTCAACGCTATAATGTTTTTAAATATGTAGCCACATACATGTTATTTAACTCAAAACAACAACAAACAGACCAGCATCCATCGTATTACTGTTTTTACACGGTCTTGTCTGGTTGTAGGCAGGGTTTTTAATATTTTTATAAAATCCAGATATGAGGAGTCCGTAGGGACTTCGCAGTCCGCCAGAATCAGTGACAGTTTGTGGACTTTAAAATGAAGCGTCAAATTTGGGGGAAACGGGCTTTTAAACACGACGGGAGATGAGGCGAAGTTTTAGGAACCTGTTACTGTGAATCAATCATTCTCTGTCGACGGTGCACCTGTAAAGATACAGCGCCTTGATCAAACTGGAATAAGACGCCAGGCTGCGGCTATGGGGGTGGGGAGATAAGGCGTTTCTTTTGTACAATTCCATTAAAACTTAGTTTTCCAGCTTTGACCGTCCACATCAGGTATCCAGTTCACGAGAGGGCGCTAAACATGTAACAGCTTTCTTTTTTAGGAAAGGTGTGTGTGTGTATATATATATAGCTATACGTTTCCCGTTTGGTTTCTCCCAGGATGTTATCGTGAACGGGGAGACAGTCCCTGCGGGAAAATCTAACGCGATCCTAATGGGACGGCCTGCTGCGTGTCACCCAGGTGGGGGCTATGCGTCCTTCAGGGATGCAAAGCGCTGTAGAAATGCAGGAGTCGCCCGGTCGAGGCGTGCGCAGATCGAGCAGCAGAGAGCGGCGCGCTGCGCGGCGTGTTTACTGGTGCGTGTGAGGGAGGAGGGGGGCTTGTGGCGAGTCGTCTTAGGCTGCAGTTGTGAAAGAATTGCCGAGGCGAGAGAGCGCGGAGTCGCCTGGCCCTGCAGTCCAAGATATCTCCTCGAGTTGCTGACACACGGAGAGCGGCTTACTGTTTTATTCCTGGAGTTCAGGACAGCGGCGTCTTATCGGGGTGGGTGTGGGGGTTGGGGATGCCGCGCTAGTTTTTGTTCTGAAGGGATGCACCTGTCAACACGGCGATCTGACATCGACAACCGGCTTTGGAGCTGAAATCGCGGGGCCACGATCAGTCGTTCTTTTACTTCAAGAAGTGTGAGGAGGAGACCATTTGGAATAGGAGGAGGAGAGGAAAAAAAACGTTTCCACGTCTGAACACCACGGAGTGTTTTTGTGTTTTGGGGGCAGCAATGCATGGCTGGATGGTTTTAAAAAAAAAAAAAAACTATATGGAAAGAAGGTTATGCTTAAAAAAATCTTTGAACAAACCAGCAGAGAAGAAAATATTTTTTAACTAAATGGGGGGGGAAAAATTATATGAATTACAGAATTATAAGGCTTGCAAAACAGGTTTATTTCACGCTGGGATGCTGAAGATTCGTCCAGGAGTATTTAAGTTTTATTTTAGTTTTTTTTTTGTTGTTGTTTCCAAGAAAGAATGGAAGAGTTTAACCTTATTAGAGAAGTACTGACTGTGTACTTCAGAGATCAGATCACTTGTCCCTGCCCTCCCTTTCCCTATGAATACAAACCTGTTCTTTTTATGTGATTGTCAATATTACTCCCTGGCTTGGAAGTGAGTAGTTCACTATTCATTCCAAAGTTTTCTGTATTAAGTTAGCACAAGCTTTAACAGGAGGGCATATATACATGTCTCCAGTGGTCCTTAAGTATTTTAAATTGTGCATGCCTGTTCCAGTTTGGAGCTGCCTTGTGTTAATTTATTGCATATTATAATTACTGTATGTTGGTATTAATCAGTTCTAGACCTTTTTTTAGTTTTATTTTGTAAAAAAAAAAATAACATGACAACAATAAGAGCTAAGAAAGTTTACCACGCAACATCCAGCAGTTGTGATGTCCTTAGTTTTGTTTCCCAGTTTCAGTGGAGATAGCCCTTCCAGAATCTGCTTTGGTAGACTGCGTTAAGGTGAATCAGTTAACGAATGGATTTCTGACACAGATTAGCACAGGGGTCCCTGTCCTGGCACCAGGTGCACACCTGCCAGTTTCCACCATGCCCGAATCCAGAACCCCACGGACCACGTGCTTGATTAAAACCTTCGCCGGGGGCGTTTCCCGCCCGAAAAGATCAGCGATTTCGAAGCCACTCCAGGACAGCAGGTGTAAAAGGCTGCCTCTGGCTCTTCAGGAACTGACAGCATGAATTTGGATTAAGTGCATGTCTGTCAAGGGTTCGATAATTTCCATCCGCACCCAGGTGGAACCAAAGCCTGCAGGTGTGTGGGTCCCCAGTACCGGGACAGGGAACCCCTAGATTAGAGTGTTTAGTGTTAATTTGTTTGCCACGTGTCATCTGTTGCACTTTAAAAAAAAAAAAGAACAACCTTCTTTAGCTCACTGTAAACAGTACATTTTTAGCTTGATGTGAACTTTGTTTTTAATTTTAATTTTACTCTTCTCCACAGCAAAGAATTTGTCCTAAAACCGTATGGGAGCAATAGTGTCCTTTTTTAATTATATATATGAGTTAACTACATCCTTATTCCTGTACTGTGTTATGTGATATGGCAGCTGTTTCCAGTCATGTGTGTTCTGCTGTAATATTCTATCTAGTTCCTTTTAATAATAAATGAATAAAAATTCTTTGCTGAGGAAAATGAGCGTAAAGGTTTTCAACAAACTTTGGACACGGGAGAAATGGCAAAGGGTTTGTGAGAGTAAGAAAGGGTATGAAACTGGTCCCATGTTGGCTCCAGGGGTTAGGTGCTGCTTTACAGTAAGCACAGGAGCACGTTGGAGCCAACATGGCTGACAGCGGAGACTGCAGTTTCACGCCTTTTCCTTGCCGCTCGGTGAATAAACTGTAATGTACAACCAGCAAACCCTCCGTTTTTTAAGAATCTGCGAACGAGGCAGCTGTGGCAATGATGCTGCGAGCTGACTTTGCTGTATATTGCTGTAGGTTTTAATGTGCAACCAGTTCAAGTATAGAGAGGCAGTTATTCCTCGTGTTACAGTGTTTGAGGATTCAGCTGTGCTCATCACTCCTGTGAGCTGTGGGACACGTCTGGGAGCTGACTAGTAAACCGATACCCTCCTGACAATTGACGAGACAGAGTGGAGGCCTAGCACCGAGCAGCCCTAACTCAGTGTTAAGTGGTCGCTAGTCTAGAATTGTTTTAACGTTGAAGGAGCTTTTTCTCTCCTGTGCAGTTTGAACTAGGGGAGGCTATCGAACGCTTTAGGGCTCTTCGGAATTGGAGCGTGGGGCGTCAAGGGGCTTCGGAAGCCATGCCATTCCAGTTGGCTGTTCCTGTGCTTGCTACAGGTTTTAGGCGAATGGTGATCATGTGTTTCACAGCACATCAGTGACACTGTTTCAGGAGCGTCACATGATGCTCGATTTGATATTCAGGTCTTGCCGGTGTCACGAAAGGCAAAAGCGCCCTCCTTTGCGCCTGCACAGCATGGCTGCCACTCCCTTCCAAGACCTATTCTGCTCAAAGCATTGTATCTTAGTGCATGATGTGTGGGGTGTCTGGAAAGCATATTAAAGTGGTTTCTTTCTTATTTTTGTGTTGCTGCTGAGGTTTTCTGCAGAGCTGTGACTGGACAGGTAGCCGAAGCATTCCCATCTCCACACTACCCCCCCCCCCCACTGCTCATTGTGCCTCACCCACCCGGCGGGGAACACCAGTAGGTTTGCCCATCAGTCCTTCGAATAGCAAGGAAAATGCTCTGCCGGTATAAGTGGTGATGAGCTTTGCGCTACCAGTTCACCCAAGGGAATCTGAGTTTTAGCAGCTGTCCTGCATTATAAGCTCTGGAACAAGCATAGGAGCCGGTTTGAAACCACATGAAACATTTCTTTTGGCAAAGTTATTTTACACTTTTTTTTTTTATAAGGAGCTGTTTTTTCTGTCCACCCAATATGCTGTGTTATGACTGTAGGAGTGTGTTTTCATGCCAACCAGAGCAAGGCAAGTGAGGTGTGGGGAGAGGGCGGTAGGTTCCTGTTTGCTTATGTCTTGATGCTTTAAGGCCTTCTAGGATGTGACTCATTCCGCAGATTCGCTGCGATTACAGGCAGACCATTTCTGATATTTTTATTTAATAAAAGAAAGCAGTCTTGGGATTGTGATTAACACTTTCTTGGAAGCGATAGGCCATTCTGATGGTGCCACTAAAGCGGAGAGGGAATTTCTGTATCTCCTGTATTTGTTAACTCGTATTCGTGAGGAAGGCTCGTCCGTGCTGCCTCTGGAATATGTGCAGGGACTAGTTAGAGGGCGGGATGTGAGCTACGTAAGTGTGAGTGCAAGCGTCTGCGATAGCTTTGCTTTTGAGTGTGTGGGGTATCGCAAAGAAGACAAAACCTGCCAGAAACAGTTGATCTTTTAGGAGGTGAGGTTGTAGCGAATGTTATGCAAAAAGGCTTTATGGTTCATTCGAGGGCTGCGGTGAACAAACAGTGGTGGGAAAGCCAGTGGACAGAATCTGGAAATGATCATGCTGAATTTGAAGGAATGAAACTTTCCTTTCACTGTGTCTGGCCAACGTTCTGTCCTCTCGCCTCATGAAATCGGCAGATGACAAGGTAGAACCCTTTGAGGAGGCTATCATATAGGCTGGTGTATGTGGCTGAAGCATTGGAACCGGTTCACCCTAAAGTTTCGTTAAGCACCTAAGACGAATCCATGCCAGCTTTCTGTTTAACTCAATTGAATTTAAGTTTAAGTTTGTTGAAAATGAACCGAAAGATTTAGAATTGTGCTTTTTTGCTTCAGCGCGCTGGCAAAAGTTGTAATAGTCCGCATGCTTTGTGATGCACTATTTGTGCGTGCAAAGGAGAGGGCCATGGATTACCTGCAGATAAGGTGGGATATGTATGCGCAAGTGAGTAAGAAAGTCCGCACATCTAGGCTGCTTGTTCTTGAATTGATCAGCACTGCTTGCTGAGAGCTGGAGACATGTGCTTTGCATTGGCAGCTGGGTCTCCCCAGTCGTGTGCGTCACTCTCTGATGGATTGGGGGGGGCTCTTCCCCTGCCTTTGTGGCTGAAATGGGATGTTTCATAGGGTGGGGGAGAGACGGGTGTCTTGAGGGCTCTTTCTCATTCCGTGGCGCTCCTGTGTCTGAGAGGGTGTGTGTCGGCGTGCTTTGGTGCTGGAATCCGGAGGCAGCTGCTGTGTGCCTGGGTTGACAGCTGTGACAGTGACCTCCTGCACGGCTGTTGCGATTCTGTCAGTGCCGGTAACAAGGGGGGCAGCAGGCGGTGGGGGGGGGGTGCTTTGTGTTACACTAGGGCTCCTGCTGTAAGTCTGGGATCAGAGGATCTGCTGCTCTCTCCATGGGCCGTTAGCAGGGAATGTGTTGAGCATCACGTTCAGTTGTGCTGTTTGCAGTTTGTGAGTAGAGAATTTGCATATTATGATTTTATAGCAATAATAGTGGTGGATTCTTTTGCAGAGTGAAAAGGAAGGTTAATCACAGTCAGGCAGCTTGAAATGTTAGCCAGTGGGTAATTGGGTTGGAAATAGCTGTAAAAGAAACAGGATTAATTGCTGCTTTTCTTTTGTTAGGAGTAGCATTGGATCTTAAGAGGAACCCTGGCTTTGGGAACTTGCTGTTTTCCATCCGTGCCCAAGCTGTCTGTAATCTCCCGTGGTTGCCCAGGGGTAGGGTGGCACAGCTATGCAGTGGAGCTACAGCCATTCCAGTAGGCTTGTTACATTGTCGCATTCAAAGCTGCTGTTTTTCTTAAAAGTGAAAGTTACGACAGGTACTTGCCCTTTGGTCTTGCACAGTGTTGAAGCGATCGACAGAATAAAAACACCCTTTCACTTCAAAAAAACATAATTTCTGTGAATGCATATCTTCTTAAAAGAGCAATTGTGAGCTTGGCCCCATCTCGATCGCAAGCAGACCGGTGCCTGTCCAGCAGTGGGAACGAGAGCTGAGGATCTGGAGGTTTCCGTGCGCTACCTCAACGCAGCTGTCTCAGAGGCAGAGTTTCATCAGGGTCGAACATTGTCACCTCGTGTCTTAAAATGAGCCTACTGCCCAAGCTATACAGTAACTGCATCTCAATGCTGCGCGTCATGTGGGCATGGTGTCCATGCCTTGGCTGGACGCTGTATCTCAGTGGCCACCTGAGTGGAAGAGCACCGGAGCTTGAGTTCGCCGATGGAGTGGAGGTGACTGAGCAGTTTCCAAGCTAGCTCTCAAAGAGTGCCGAGTGTGTTAGAGGGTGGAGTGTGGTAACGCCGAAATCTTGAGTTATTTAAAGCCCTTTCCGTGGCGGACTGTCTGCATTGTGCAAGGTTCTCCCATCAGGAGATTCGGAGAGGGGGCAGCCTGGAGGGCTGGGGTGGGTGCTGTTTCTGGAATGAATGCAAGAGGATAATCATTGGGGCCCAAAAGCATCCTGTTTTTTTTTTTAGTTCTGTGCTGCCTCTTGTGTCGTTCCAGGCTTGGAACGCCTAGGTTATTGCCTCTTCCCAGGAGGACAAAATCTGGGGTGTTGGGAGGAACGAACAACTGTACAAAGAAAAATGCCAGCACCCAAAAGCACTTGAGTGATGCTTGGTCATAGGGATAGGCCCCTGTTGCAGAAATACCATACCTGCCAGTCCTGTGCTTCTGCACGGCTTTGTTACAGCTGGCTTTTTAACTTAATTAAAGTTTATAAAGAAGGAGCTGCACTGGGCTGGATCTCGACCAGTTGCCCTTTCATCCTGGCAGCCTGCTGAAGGTGCACTCAATCTGTCAGTGTCTCCCCTGCTCGGAAAAGAACATCCTCCCAGATAAAGTGGTGGAAAAAGCTTTTGTTAAAATCCCAATGAAATTCCTCCTGTTTTCCTTCCAGCTGGGAAGTTCCCAATGAGAGCTGTGTGCCCTGAAAGCCGATCTTGAATGGCATAAAAGGCAAATCTAAACGGTATCAAAATATTTGCAAAAAATGCTGATGGTTATGGCGGCACTTTGTAAACTGCACAACCTGGAGGGCAGTGTTTTAGTGTTATTTCAAAGAAGTACATTTTGGGGAAAAAAAGCACATTAAAAGTACTGAGGTTAACTTGGAAGAGCTCGGTCCCAGTGAAGTACATGAGAGGTTGAGTTCTTATGGTCCTTCCAGGCCAATCCCAGTCTCCCCAGCTCACAGGACTGCGGGCACAACACCGTGGTTGGAAGGACAGCGAGGAGGGCGCTGGGCACGGGCCTCAGACTTACCACTAGCCAGCTAGCCCCCTGGAGCAGACCACAAGCCCTGCTAGTTGGCGATCCTTTTACTAGCAACATTTTTGCAAATGGAGTTTTACAGTCTATATTTAGAAATGTAATGTATGTTTTTATCAAATAAAGAAACCTATAATTAATGAAAGCATAATACTATTCACACTGGCTATGTCCTCTTTCTTTACTTGGTGTTAAAAAAGTGTCACTGAAGACAGATGAACAGTTTTTTAATCTGCTGCACTTCAAACAGATGCATGTGAACACTTGAGGCAGATGTGTGTTTGAATACAAATACGTTCTAGAACAGACAGTTTGTAATGGGCAGTACTGGAGGGGAAGGGCGAGGCTTCAGCATGAAGCTGATAAATATCTGCAGTAGCACCTAGATCTCCTGAGGCTGCTACCCAATCTGATTTTATTTTTAAAGTTGCTTCTTCATTCCCTCAAAGCAATTTTAAATGCTTTGCCATGTGCACTAGTACCAACAAGAGCAGGTATTGTAAGTGGCATCCTGATATACAAACGTTTTAATTTTGCATGGCTGCAGGAAGAAGCAGTTCTATTCCAGGGTGATCTTTTGCAATTTGGAGTCTTAAACTGTGGCACACTGTCCTTCTAGAACCAATCTGGTTTTAAATAAAGGCCCTCTTTCTGTTCTTGGTGTTTGTCTTGGATAAAGGGGTTAAGCTGAGAGAGTTGTAGGGACGCACCCCCCATGTTTCTCTGGCCCCAGTGTCGCTGTGCTGCTGAACAGTGATTCACTGCTCCCCCTCCCCCACTGAAGCTTCGTCGTCGGAGAGTGAGCCTCCCACTTGCCCAGTTGGCAATACTACAGTGAACTGGAAAGGTGACAGCTCAAGGGCACTTAATACCACTCTGGGCCACCATCCAGATAAATCTGGGATTATTTTATCTGCTTTGGCCATCCTGCTGTGGAAGTTATCGTACATAGAGTCCAGGGCCCCTGTGACAAGGATCCTGCAGTTTGGTCATGAAGCATGAGGGTCACATGTCTGCACTCCAACAGATGTCGCTGCAGTGCTTTTCTAGATGATCGATGGAAAATGAGGAACCTTCAGTGGAGACTCTAGAGCGTGCTGCTCCCTTAGAGCTCAAAAGTGGGGAAGGAAGTTAAAGCGATTATCTCTAAACTTCCCCCCCGTTTCTAATTTTCTGTGCTCAGATGCGTGTGTGAAAAGGAAGAAGGGTGTGGACGTCTCGCGTTCGTCACCCATGTTAATGGTTTAAATTACGTTTTCTGATCAAGCACCAGTGGTGCCGAAACGCCATTGCAGAACCCAGCCGTGCCTGGTCTGTCATACAACCAGCACTCTCTCCGAGTCAGTTCACTTCCTCCCTAACTCTCGGAGGTGAGCTGAAACTGGAGTCCCGTGCTCATCCCTGTTCGCCTTAATGAATTATTCATTTGTTTGGCTGGTCCTTTTTTCCAAAGTGACTCATCATTGCACCCCTTTATACAGCTGAATAGGGCAATTTGGGTGAAGGACCTCACTCAAGGGGACAATATCAGTCTCTTGCCTAGGATTTGGACCCTCGGCCCTCTGGTTACACGTCCTGACCCTTAACCTTGTACACAAGCATTAGCCTGGAGCTTCACCTCCTGCCCAGCATGACAAAGCCCATAGGACCCTCAGAGTGCCACAGGGGGTCTTCACACACGTCTCTTGGGGATAGGGCCTTGTGGAGAGCCTTCCCTTTCATAGCCTGTTGTTCCTGAGCAGCTCATTGGCTGGTCTTCGAATCTCCGTAGCGAAGACAAAATTCACATTTTTCTCCCCGTCTCTCTCTTCCGGCCAGCTTGCGTGGCCTGAGGGAAGTTCACTTCTCCGAAGTGCTTTTCCACATGTTTGCTGCGCCCAAACAGAGCAGCAGAGTGGTTGCTTTGGTGGGACTCAAGCTCCCAGAGAATCTGAACTGTTACCCCAGGGGTTCAGACCGCTCGGCCCCGACGTCTCTGCGGTGCCTCTATCGGTCACCACGCTGCAGGGCTGAGGTCACCAGCACCAGGTCCTGGAGGAGTCCCGTCTTTTCTGCTTTTCCTTCCGAACTGAGCTCTTCATTCGTTAAAACCATTGGAAGCGCCGTTTGACAAATAGCTCTGTTTTCATGACATGAGGAAAGGGGTAAAGACAGATGAGGAAATATAGACAGAGAAAAGGCTCATACTGCAGACAAAGTACCGTGTTAAAGAGTATTAATAGAAGTGTTGCAGGAATTAAAAGCACTCAAGCACACCAGCAGGACCTGATACTAATTTTATTGAAGTCAACAAGATTTTATTCATTGGCAATTAACACTCTTCCAACAGTCACAAGACAGAGGTGTTACCTACTGGCTAGAACACTGCCAATTTAGCACAGTGACAAAACCGAACCCTGTAATTGTAGACGAAGATGTCTTACTTCAGTTACATAGAAGGTTAAGGAAGAATTGGAATTCATCCTTACAATGAATTTACTTTTAGAGTATCACACGTAGTATTACAGGAAGTAGGCAGTATAGATTTAGGAAGGGCTATTCCTGTTTAGTGAACTTATCTTCTTAACTAGAGTTCTTTGGAAAAGCAAAACCAATGAAAGAGAATATGACATACATCAGCACAGTATGCAAAGCAAAAAGTAAAGGTTTAGTCCCTGCTGAAAAGAGAAGAAAAAACAAAGTTTCGGCTTTGGAGCCTCCTTCAGGTGTGTATGATAGTACAGTTTGGTGTTTTAATCAAGTCAATCAGATTTTTAACTCTCTAATTGCCAAGCTGTTACCTTTGCCAATATCAAGGCTGGTGTCTCCACTTTAGAAATAATATTTGAGTGTGTCATAATTCTAATAAATGTAGCTAACAGATATTTCACCCTGATTTAAAATAGTTGCCTGTAGACTAAATTAATCAGTGCTCTATCAACGATCTATCAGTTCTGTACAGAAAAGGATGGGAATGACTGTTTCATGGGCTCAATTCCACCTCCACGAGAGGAATTCTGAAAGCCAGCAAGTGGCACAGGATCCCTACTGATTGCAAGCCTCGTTTAAGAACTGGAGCTCTTAAACACTACCTCATTAATCAGGCGGAAAGTGGCCAGCCGGATTGAAAACCGCACAGCACAGGAGTAGCCTGTGTACTCACAGGCAGCGCGGGCCCTTTACCCGCACACCCTGCACAACCTGCAGAATCCTCTGTCACACCGATCGCATGCATGCATCCCTGTGTTTTAGTTTATTTTCGTGCGAATGTTCACGGGTCCCCGTCACTGTCTGCACATGCATGAGGGGCTGTGTGACGGAGTGCCTGTGATGGAGGGGTTTGCGGCCACGCATCTGGGTTCGTGCCTGCGCTGGACAGCGACGGCTCGTCCGCACCCCTTTCTGGGGGAGTCCCCCAGCCCCGCGCGCAGGCAGAACGGGCACGCGGAGCGGCTGAACATGATTTCGCTGGGGGAGGCACATTTTCACCGTGTCTCAATCTGCGCTCGGCTGCTCTTGAGCTCGGCTGATGCAGACTTCAGACATCCACGACCTCCCTTAGCGACGTGAAAGGCCTGGCGAGCCACGAGGCACGGGAGATCCTCCGAGGTTTGGGGAAGATGGCAGGGCTGCCTTAGACACGTTAGCTAGCAGGAGCAGAGAGGAAGGACACAGACAAGAGGGTGAGGGGAGAGGCATGAATGAGGGAACCCAGGCTCTGTGGAGAAGCCCTGCTCCTGACGGTGAGCTATATTTAGCCCGTGTTGCCATGTGCCGGGAATGTGCTGCCCTGGCTCTGCTCACACGCACTTGCTGAAATGCCGCGCGCATGATGTCTCCCCAACCCCCTCCAGAGGCATCCGCTGCAGAGGCGGATCAGGGGATCCACATCTGAGCTCTCGTCCTCTGAGGATGTGTGAACGTACGACGCGTTACCAACGAGAGGAGGCGCTTCAGCATGTCCGGCTTGATTGTGTGCTCATAGCTAATTGATCCAAGGCTCTCTGCCCCTGCCGCTTCTTGTAAAGCTCCAGAGTCTTACCTTCAACGCCAACGCTGGGTAGCTTGTTCCAGGCACCCACACCCCTTAGTGTAAAGAAATGCCTCTGGTTCTCAGTTGTTAAGATACTTACCCTTTGTTTTCACTTGCATTATGTGGATTGTGTTTCGCTTTTAATTCTGAAGACTGGAATCAGGTCCCTTTATCCGTTCAAGCCTAAAAATAGTTTAATTATTTTAGCCTGTCAGAGCAGACCTTAATATGAGCCTAAGAATGTATCTGGTTGCAATCTCTGGCCTTATTCTGGAGCTGCAAAATCTGTTTTTTATAACATGGTGTACAAAAGTGCACACTGTATTCTAAACAAAGTCTTACTAGAGCATTATGGCACTGTGGCTAAGGATCTGTGCCTGTGGCTGGCAGAGGAATCCTACTCTGTTGGGCCCCTGAGCAAGGCCCTTAACCCCAACTGCTCCAGGGGCACTGTACAATGGCTGACCCTGTGCTCTGACCCCAACTTCTCTCCCTGTCTGTGTGTCCATGGAGAGTAAGCTGGGGTATGTGAAAATATTAATTCCTGTTGCAAGAAATTGTATATGGCTAATAAAATGAACAATTTTATCATAACCTCCCTTGATTTAAATGTCTTTACTTTTAGTTAAATGTTAACATTCTGATGGCCTTTTTAGTGCTTCCACAGAACAACTGGAATACAGATCTCCTTATGATGCATGCCTTGTCACATGCTTTAAGTTTCTTTCTAGCACTGGATGATTAAGAAGGTGAACCACATGCAAATGTAGCTCAAGGAACACCCAGGGGAACTCAGGGAAGGATCAGGTTTGGCTTTTGTTACTGTGTTAAATACACAGAGATGTAAGTCTGCTCACAGTCCAGCACACCTTTCTTTCATTACATAAGGTGGAAGGGAGGATGTGTGTACTGTAGGTGTTCAACAATAAATCAAAATCATGAATAACATTTTAGTCTATTTTCCCCCAATGATTTTGAGGTGCAATCTATCTTATCTGATTTCTCCACCTCCACCCTCATCATCATTCTGATGAACAAAGCTGTTCGGGTATGCAAATCTACTATATCTGTGTGTCTAGAAATTACAGTTTAGAGGAAATAATGATATTATTCTCTCTCCTAGCTGTACATCAACATACACAGATATGTAAAGAATGGGTTAATTTAATGTCAGGGGCTATGTGGCATTTCTGCTGAATAATATTTAAGAACAGATGTCTGGGTAATGATGTAACCAATGTTTTTTAGCCGTTTTTTAAAAAATGCTGGTTTATTATTGTTCTCAGTGCTGTACTACTGCAGTGTACCACACGAGGTCGCTGCAGCCCAACGAACAAACGACGACAGGTTACACAGGCCTAATTGGTTAGAGACATTTGGGCGAAGTGGTTGTAGAATTTCGACCGCTCACCTATTACGCAGATACTCCGTAATTCTGGGTACGTGTATAACGCCATTTACAAAACGTTTGATCACATTCTGAACGTTTGTCAAAAGCTTTTGGTTATGTGAAAGCAACCTTTTCTCGAGGGCACTTCTCGGAATGAGCAGAGGTATTAACCCTGTGTCCTGGCCAGATTCCCCTCTGGTCTTTACCAATCATGGTCTCCTAATAATCCCCATCTCTGAACTGGCTTCATCACTCTGTTCTCCTCCCCAGTGATAGCTGGTGTGTGGGGAGCGTTCTGGCGCACTATGGCTGCCGTCGCATCATCCAGGTGGGGCTGCACATTGGTGGTGGTGGAGCGGAGTACCCATTACCTGTAAAGTGCTTTGAGTGGAGTTTCCAGAAAAGCGCTATATAAGATTAAGAAATTTGTATTATTAAGTTGCAACCTACGTGGGCTCTCCCGTGAACTTCATATAAAACGTTGAGAACAGTAGAGACGATAGCCTCATACACATGGTAGCGTGCTGCCGCGTCTGTTTCTGTGCACGCTCGCTCCTCTTTCCCTGGTCTAACCTCACCTCACGTGCTGCGCAACAGGAGCCGTGTCTGCTCTCCACGTGACTGCCACAACTGTTGTAAGCGACAAAGGTCATAAAGTCTGTTAGCGGCAGTCACCGTCTCCTGCCCCTCTTCGTGCGCTGCCCACTCTGCAAGGGAAACTAAGAGGGGGTCGCTGCAATATATCGTATACCTGCCTGTCAGTCAGTTTTGGAATACGTGCGCTGCTTGCATAATCGCTGGTAAACAAACTTTTCACTGGGAACATTTATTCCATGCTGAAAAGAGTAGAAAGAAAACACAACGTTTCGGCGGTGGAGCCTTCTTCAGGAGTGAGGTTTAATTAGTTTTACTCACATCCAGTGTCAAACAGGGGTCTCAAACCGCAGGTATAGGCAGCAAGCGGGGCGCGTAGTGGACCGCATGGATCTCAACTGCTCTGCTCGTCCTACAGGTGCTGTGAGTCAGTCATCTCGACGAGAAGGCGCAGTAAAGCGGGGATATACATGCGAGGCTTGTTTAAATGAGCAACCACCGACGCCAAAAAGAACTTTCTTACTTGTGAAGGGCCTCTACCATATTTGCAATTGAGCGGCGAGAACGAGAAATCGGCTTCAGTGAACGGACTGCGCTGTTCTTCGATGCCTTAAGGTTGAAAATGATGATATTGAATCGCCAGCACTCGCCAACAGTGAGTGAACGGTTTTGCTCGGAATCGGCAACCAAGAAGACGCCGACAGCTTCTGGAATTAAGAAACAATCCCGTCGTCTTCAACAGGAGAAAAAAAAAACATTACCCGACTGAAACATTTTCTCGTTCCAGTCACAGGCAGGCCCTTCAGAGTTCGGACAGACAGGTGTAGCCCTCTCAGTCTTCAGCGGTTACGAGGGAATGAAACTGCCGCAGAATCGCAGCATCTGTGACCAAGTCTAGTCCCCATTTTCTCCGAGCTCTGTGTTTCTTCTCGGATATCACTACAGATGGCCACCTTCTTGGTGGCTCTGTGACTAAGGATCTGCGCCTATGGCTGGAAGGTTGCCAGTTCCCGCCTGGCAGAGGAATCCTACTCCGTTGGGCCCCTCAGCAAGGTCCTTAACCCCAACTGCCCCAGGGGCGCCGTATTGATGGCTGACCTCTGACCCTAAGCTTCTCTCTCTGTCTATGTGTCTCATGGAGAGCAAGTAGGGGTATGCGAAAAGACAAAATCCTAATACAAGAAATTGTATAGGGGCAATAAAGTGATTTTATCTCTTATCATATAAGTGATTGACAACAGACAAGGTGAAAGACCAAAGACTCTTAGTGACCAGACCATACCTAGTCGCATCCACCACGGAGAGAAGTGATTGAACGACTCCTCACAGTTTAACACGAAGGTGAAAAGCTGTTGTTCATGCGACAGTGGAAGCTTAACAGAACTGCTGCTCAAAATAAAATCATGCCTAAATTCTGTAGAACTGCAGTACGTACATCATGAATAAAACTCACAATAAAAAAGGGTTTCTTCACATTCACATTTACTTGCATTTATAAAGTGGTAAATGTTTTAGCATTACAGTTACAAAATACACCCAGGATAAAAATGAATACCGTCACATAACTGGGATAAGTTACAAAGTTATACAACTTACATAATGCAAGAAAAAAATACAAATATTGAACGTGTTACACTAGTAGGCTAGTACGGCAAGCTAGTACGGAAGTTGATCAGCGCCACGAAGAAAAATAAATCATTGCTTTTAAACGCAATATTTATTGTGTAAAATAATTACACTAGTATATTAATATACTGGTATATTTAATAATATTGCCGTATGCAAAACTATTTTCATTAGGAAAAAAAACCGTCCCACTCCTCTTTATGCAAATTTATTAGCCTGACGGAGCACGTATAGTGTCCTTTTCATACATGAAGGGTAATAACGTCATGGTGCATTCCTGGGTTCAATTCTTACTGTTTTCACCATTTATGTGCAAAGCAGGAAAGGCGTGGCATGACAGACATTTTCTTTTTGATCTGAAGTGCAGAAAAATGTCGATAAGGTTGTTGCCTATTCCTTAAACACTGATCAGAATACTTTTATGATGAATTAACCAGACCTATACCTACTGTGGATTTACAGTATATTTAAGTATTAAAAAAACAACATGCTTTTCGCCTGTGCTTGTAAAGAATACATTTGAGTCATGTGAAAGGAGAAGAAAAGGCATTTCTGTCTAGGTTTGCGGAGGCGTGAATATAACTAGATACAGGAATGCCAGCCTCAAAATCCCCAAACAATTCCAGGACGCCAGAGAAGCGGCTACATGAGAGTAATATGGATTTATAAAGAGAGTCCTGTTAGCTTGGCAGTAGTATCTCGTCGTGATTACATCTCATTTAAACGCGCTAATGAATTTATTTCCCCGTGGCGCTAATAGGCTTCCGTAGATACGCAAAGACATGACTTAGGTGGAATAAAAGCGACAGTAAAGTGTCAGTATAACGTCAGTCACAAATCACGTCTGCATCTCCGATGACTCCTTTCCCTTTCAGAGAACCGAGGTTGCGAAGACATCGCAATCACATCATTTTCACAGGGATTACTCTGTTGCTAGGTCGCCCTTAACGACGACACTCAAACGCTCATTTCTTGACACACGAAATGCCCTGTGCAGCTTCATTGGATGCTTTGGTTTTTTTTTTCATCCTGTAAAGTTTAATCCAGCGGAAGGTCTCTTTTTTTTCTTTTTGCACCTGGACTTTGTTTTTGTCAATAACCCAGAACCAGTTGGGCTGGGCCACGGACTCCAAGGTCTCGGAGTTCCACTTGAACTCGAACTCCTTCCCTCTCGGGGTTTTCGGCAATCCTACTTTCTGCAGCTGCAAACACAAAGCGCGGGAAACGGACAGGTAAGACACTTGTGATATCAAATATTACACCTGATGTGGCCATCCGATCCCCACCCTGATGAATACTTTCCAGTCAGGCCTACTAATTGAAGAAATGACATCACTTTATGGCATAAATTCTTGTTTTTTTTAAATCCCTGCAGCACAGCAGAAACAAGCAAAAACGTTGGCCGCCTCTGCTCTAGAGTCATCACTGACAGGTGAGGTCTCTAATAATTCCAGTGATGATTGGCCTAAGAACTATCTGCAGAGCATGTTTGTCCAAAGTCACATAGTGTTGTAAGGCAGTGTTATAGTTAGAGCCGAGAGCTGCTCTATACAGTGTCTCTTACAGCGTGCCTCAGTTTGACAGGGACAAAGAGAGAAAGACGGTGCCAACCCGATCGAGCGGCGGAGCTGGGATTTGAACCCGCACACACCCAGCATCATGCCAGCTGGCTTCATCACTGCCTTCATTTTTTTTTATATATATATAAGGAGCCATAAAGCTGTTCTGCCTCTTGCCCAAGATCTGTTTCATTTTCATCCCTGGGGTGGAATGCTGTGGGAAAGCACAGAAACATCCTGAAGGCCTACAGGCAACCACTTTATTTATTCTGAGATGTCTTGCAGCTGGATCTGGATACCGTATTTGGAGATCAGTCAATACAGGCCTCCAGGCGCACAACAGAGCTGTGCCAAGACCCAACCATGTGATCGAATTCTTCAGACCTACATGTTTTTTTACTCATCTGCGGTACAGTTTGCATTTAAGTCTGAATAAACAATCCTCTCCTACCTTCAGCTTGCTGTCCTTGACGAAGGGGTAATAGTAGTCAGTGTTCTTCTGAAAGCAGAAAGCCACATGGGTGTTGTTATCCGATCCTTTTATGTGGTGCACCTTCACTATCCCTGTGGGGGAAGAAACATGGGCATGTGGTCTGGTGTTTTAACAGTTGTATGGCATTGTTTGGCATCCGAGGAGAAAAGCATTCCATTCACAAAGGATGATACAGCATTTTTTGGGAGTGTTTACACAGCTGTCCTAGGTCCTGGAGGCAGTATCCTTGTACTTTGTATTGCTCAGTGTTCCCTGACTACAGCAGCTGTAATTACAGTAATATTCATTTTATAATCTGCCTGAATGAAGCAAATGTGCTGTCTATTCCCATGTATTCCCTGCACCTACATAGCACTATTCTGGATGCTACACTAAAAGCACTTTACAGGTAATGGGGACTCCCCTCCACCACCACCAGTGTGCAGCCCCCACCTGGATGATTGGACAGCAGTCATAGTGCACCAGTACTCTCACCATACATCAGATACCAGTGGGGAGGAGAGCAGAGTGATGAAGCCAATTCATAGATGGACATTATTAGGAGGCTATGATTGGTAAGGGCCAGGGGGTACATTTTGCCAGGACACCAGGGTAACTCCCCTGCTCTTTTTGAGAAACACCCTGGGATGTTTAATGACTGCGGAGAGTCAGGACCTCATTTTTTTTGGATTCATCCAAAGGACACAGCCTTTTTAACAGTATAGCTCCCACTGATCTCACTAACACCTCTTCCAGCAGCAACCTAAGCTTTCCCAAGACGTATGCCATCCAGGTACTGACCAGGCTCACACTTGCTGAGCTTCTGTGTGTTGCCAGTTGTGAGTTGCAGAGTAAGATAACAGGTTCACCTTGCTATATCACCCTGCAAATCAGTTTCAGTTCAGAATCACTGCACTGTCCTTCATTGTATCTTACCTTCAGTTCTCTGGGTGTGTTTCACACAGATTGTTGGTTTGGGGGTCATTTCGATCACAAGTGTTCTGCCATCAGAGGTCTGGAGGCTGTTGGGCTGGGAAAAAATAAAACACAGCACAAGTCTTTACAAGTGGCATGTTACAACAGGAGCAACGGCAAGAACAAACAATGACCAAAATTTTTTACTTTAGGCATCTTTGCAAAGCTTTTAATTTACAAACCTTCGTAAAGCTCCAGTTTATCAAACATAGAATGGCTAAGAGCAATCGTGTTTCACAGACATAGTTTTAAAAAGGTAATGTCAGTTTCTTTGAGTTAACTCTATAAAATGTAAAACATAATACTGCAATTAAAATAATAAAGATTGCTCAAGCCAGGTTAATGTTTCAGTCAACGCCTGGAGACAGGTTTTAGCACACATTTTTCTGAGAGCCTGCAGTGAAGGTGTTATCAAGATAACTTCCATTATACTGCAGCTGAGGAAATGAGTGCCTTTTGTGCTATGTCAAATCAGCAAACGTTAGTTAAAATGTCTGTGACAAAACCAAGCAAACACATGCTTGAGCTCAACACATCTTTTTCAGAAACTGTAAGACAGAACAATAGACAAGGAAATGCAAAAGATGAGCTGCCGATTAATATTGAAAAATGCAGCTTGTTTTACCCACAAAGCAATTATTATAATTCACTGAAATACCTGGGTTTGAAAATTATATTTATGAAAAAGCGTTTATGCTGACAATTTTCCACCTCTAGATAATGTGGGATGTTCTTCCATCAAGGGGTGTTATGTTTAGAATTGTATTATGCAATAATAAAATCTAACATAGAATATTGTGTACAATGTTGGTAACTACATTAAAAAACATACTCTTTTTCAGGAATTAGTTCATAGAGGACGATCCATTCTAAGTCTCAAAAGAATGTCTTGTTCTGACAAGCTAAATTAATTAAATCTGTCTGATCTCCCACAGGGATGATTAAGAAGAAACCTGATTCAAGTATTCAAAATCCTCAAGGGCAATGAAAAATAATTTCTTCATAATAAACGGCAAACCAAGAACCAAAGGACACAAATGGAACCTAAAGGTTTTTTACGTAGTTTTAGGAGTCTCCGAGCTCCATGATTGTTACAGTACATTAAAAAAAACCCTGTCCATGAGTCTTGAAACCACAGCCAAATCCATTTAAGGGCAATAAAAGTATGGCATTTTAAACATTTAAAAGCACAAAATGCCTTTGACTTTATAATGTTTTTTTTGGTACCCTATTGAACTGAACGCACTGCGTGTGTGAGGAATGTTTGTGGAAATTAAACCTCTGGGTTCAGCTTCACAGTTCTTTTGCGTACGCAGATGTTTTACAGATCCAGCCATTCAGAAGGATACTAATTAGTTCACAGTTTGGTATCTGCATGGTAGATGCACTATTTTAGACATAGTGAGTTGTGTGACTGCACTACTTTGTAAAACTGCTAGGTGGAGCAGGAAAAGCTTAATGTGGCATGTGGAGCATTTGGGCTATTGGCTGATTTCGAATCCCAGTCAATGCTGAGGGACAATCTTTTTAAAGATTTTTTTAAAAGATATTTTTTAAATGTAAGTTGTATACTGTTTAGACTTTTATTAATTATAAATTGTGTATTACAGCATGTTAAATATTAAACTAATTATAAAGTAAGTATATTTTTTAAAAGCAAGATTGCTCAGTTTGATATGTAAAAAATAGTTTAATATTATACTGTAGCTTGTGTACGTGATGCGCCTCTTCCAGGTTTACATCCACATAGAGAAAATTCCAAAGTAAATTTTGGTAGCTGAAAATAAAAACAGTAGTATAGCGTAATACACACCTAATGTATACACAGTAGATGGTAGTGTTAGCTAAATCTAAAAAAAGTACACAACAGTATTCTACCTTCTTCATAAATATTTAATGCATCAAAGTCTTTAACTTGGTTACAGTGGGTTATGGTTTTAATGTGCTTGTCCTAACATTATAAAGCTTATATACTGTACTTCATAAAAAATTATAATGTTTTATCCTTTTCTAAGAATATGTAGTAAGAACACCACTTGCTATTATTGTATAAAAAAAGTTGTACTGATTTAAAACCACTTGATAGTAATATCAATATGGAATTGTGTAACTAAGTAGCTAAAATCAAGTGGATGTTTTGGAATCATTTTATAAAACAAAACTTTAATTGTCCTTATAGTGGCAATGGACAATGGGACGTTCATGTAATGTAGCACGCTGCACCCAGGCAGTTCAAAGCATTACTTACATAGCCGAATATATAAAAGTAGTTCACTATTATAGCTTGTTGTGAATGTGATGTGACCTTTTCAGGTTTAGAATTGAGAAAATCTATATTTTTCCTAATCCACATTTCAGCAGCCAGTAATCAGCCAACAATTTAACTTTAAATTTAGAACCTAAAACCGTATATTGTACTGTACAGTACTGCGCGGTCCGAAGACTTACTGGGTGGTTGTTTCTGGCAAAATTGGCTCCGGTGTGAGTGTGTGTATCTGGATGAAATATTGTAAGCGATAGTTTCGTGATTAAGTAATTTCTTCACATAATTCTTTAAGTTAAACAAAGGAGGGAAGAAGGGTTATTTTTACAGTTGCCATTAACTGTAGAATAGCTTATCAATATGTTGAAACCGGACCAGGACAGTGGAGACAGACACCTTAAGGTTACACCTTTAAGTGAGCCAGAAACTCACTCTGTTGTTTAGTAATGTACAGCCTAAATGCCGCCGGTCTTATTACGTGAAATATTTTACACCAAAGCGCTCGCTTATTAAACTCCGAGATAATGACTTATTTGACTTTGCATTCACCTCATTTAGCTGAAATGGAAAAAGAAAACGTACAGTAGTTAAATTTGTTGGAGGGCGCTCTGTTTCAGTAACAGACACTCCGACTCAAACCTGTTTCCTACAGCGATATAGACGTGGGTAATGTCTCCCCCATTAAACATGTGCTTATGGCGGAAATCCTGCAAAACCAGAAGCGGCGCAGAAGATGATATACTGTACATTATTTTCTGGAGCACCGCTTTGTTCAAAAAAGGAAGTCCGTGGTGTTCCCCCTGTTTATTGGTACCAAACCTAGATGTTCTGTACAGATTACAGAAAAGTGAACGCTGAAACTCCACCAGACATCGTATGTTCTGTTTAATCAAGGACCGATGCGCTGTTCCCTTTCTGTAATAGGGTTATGCCCTGGAAATTAGACACAAGAAGGGCATGGGCAATGTTGTGTGGCTCAGCGGGAATTTTTTTTCTGTAAACTGAAGAGTTATAGAGGAGACACGTTGTGTATCGCCTCTTTTTATATTTGTTAAAATGTTCCAATTGAAATGCAATAGGGAATATATTATGAATAAAATTAATAATTAATGACTGTGGGCGAGCTGCAAACTGAAGAGCTATAGAGAAGACACGTTGAGTCTTGTCCTTTCAGCTTGGAATAAACCTTTAGAGCGATCCTTTGGGCTATATTTATTACAAAGCCGGATGTGGAAAAATAGTTTGTTAGTGTAACGCTTACGGCCGACAAGCACTGTGTGTAAGAGCCGGCGTACCAGAGCGGGTGTCGTCACCGCCCTTCCCTGTGATAGGTCGCTGCAGAGAGACGCGGAAGTCCCGGGTTCGAGCCCCGGACGGTGCAGGGGCCGACCAGATGCGGCAAGGGTGCCCGCCTGACCCCCCGTTGCGTTACATTATTATAGCTTGTTGTGAATGCAATGTGCTTTTTCAGGTTTATTTTCGGATTAAGAAAATCTATATTTTGTCTTAATACGAATTTCAGCAATGAGAAGCTTAACTTTAAATGTTAAATTAAGGAAAATACTTCATACATACTGTACTGTAGTGGCTTTGAAACCATACGGTCTCATATTGTATATACAGTATATTTATACAGTATGCGAACAAACTGCCGTGTGCGCTACTGATTCAGTATATCTGTGGATCTGACTTCATGGGATTCGCGTGTGTGGAACTGCATTGAGGCAAGACCTGGCGGGGGGGGGGGGGGGGTGTTTTCATAATACTATGAATGAGTCCCTGAGGTATATCGTCCAAGTCCCGGAATAATAAAAAATAAACCTTTGATGAGTTTACACGAGAGAAAAAGGAACCTTTTCAGAAGTCTTGCACTGTAGTTAATCTTTTCCGAATTCGATTTCTTTTATTATTTGTCAATTATGATTATTGTTAATAATTATTATTGTTATATTATTTATTATAAAACCACTGACATTGACGCAGGTGCTGTTGCTGTGCATAGGCTCTCATTAATTTTAAATGCGCTGAACTCCGCCACATGGCACCCCTTTTAATTTTTAATGGAGTTTATTTAAAGTTCAGGTTTGTGGGGCGTTGTCATTCCTCGTGAAACACCTTTATTGCCTTTGTCTTGGGGGTTGTTTTGATTAAACTATGAATGAGTCCCTGAGGCATATCGTCCAAGTTTCGGATTATTAAAAAATAAACCTTTGATGACTTTGCACGAGAGAAAAAGGTACCTTTTCAGAAGTCATGCTCTGCGCAAAGTAGGTGAATTTGACGAACAGCTCATGTTGCTTTAAGAATTTATAATCTATGCGACTGTACAGTAGCTCTCATGTGATTGAGCAGAAAGTCACCTTGCTGTCACAAGCAGTTTATTTCATTGAATTGTTTGGACACGTACGGAAATACTCGATCTAAATTTAAAGTCTGCTTCTTTCACAGTTTTATGTGAAATGTTTTTGCACTTAAACTCCGAGATCCTAAGATAATTGCGTCTTATTAATTTAAAATGCACTGAACTCCGCCACATGGCACCCCTTTGAATTTTTAACACCTTTATAACCTTTGTCTTTCTGGGGGAGTTGGGGGGTCCCACTATGAGAACACGAATGTGAATTAAACATTTAAATACTGCGATATATAACACTAATACCCTGATACAACCAGCTAAATACATATATCCACTGTAGATAAATAAATTAATATTGTTAACCGCGCTCAGAAACCTATTGGTAGCAAATTCTTCAAAAATTAAGAAGCTTCATATTTCAAAAACAATGATTGTTACACAAGGAAGTGAAATGTTATGATCAGGAGAGGAAAAAAGTGTATTTTTTATTTATGTGTGGCTGCTGCAAGTGCACCCTTTCCAATGGCTGGACAGTTAACCCTTCCAAATTTCTCTGTGAGTCTGTCCTTGACATCTCACGCTCCTCTGTACGCTTAAGTGATCGTGAATGTCATGTAGATATACAATTATTAACAAAGGTCAATGTAAACGTCATATTTACAATTGTAGTTCAGGTGGGTAGCTGCGTCAGCATGCGTAGGCTGCAAAGGAACAAGTAATAGGTTTATTCCATGCTGAAAAAAAAGAAGAAAGAGAACACAACGTTTCGGCCGTGGAGCCTTCTTCAGGTGTGAGAGAGACAGGGCCGTCTCTCTCACACCTGAAGAAGGCTCCACGGCCGAAACGTTGTGTTCTCTTTCTTCTTTTTTTTCCAGCATGGAATAAACCTATTACATATTTACAATTGGTTTAATAAAAATAAAAATAGTTGTTAAGTTCACCAAAGCCTTCTCAGTTAAGAACCGAGAGATCAAGTCGGTAGCTGCGTTAGCATGCATAGGCTGCTTAGGAACAACTAAAAGTTTATTCCATGCTGAAAAGGGAAGACAAGAAACACGATGTTTCAGGTGTGAAGAACAGTCCCAATTCAATTGCAGCTGAAACCTTCCCCCACACACCCCCCTTCGCTGCGATTAGGATATACACAAAGAAAACACAGAAAGCTCTATATGGTCAGGTGTTTCGCAGACGTAGGAGTAGTAGATCTCCCGTTATGAACTCGCTTACAGCTGGGATCCGCTTTATTCAAAATAAGGTTTTTGGAAATGGAACCAGGCACTAGAGGTTCTAGAAAAGCGGTGAAAATGTTCACAAAGCGCGACCTTTAAAACGCCTGTGGTTTGAAGGCTCTGTGTCATTTGTTGGCAAAGTTAATGACATCTGAAGCATCCTGTCTCAAAAATAGGCATTTTAATAAGAAAGCGAAGGTTGTGAAAACGGTGACAAATGATCCTGAACAAAATACAAACAGTTTGACATTGTTATGATTCATGATTTAATACTGTTAATATTAATAATGATCATTATGATAGTTTGGTTTCAGTGGTGTTTTTTATTTGGCTGCTTTCTGATATATACAAATAAAATGTCAATATAATGTACATATTTGAACATAGAAAAACATGTGCCTTGACAGGGAATCAAACACTGACTTCCGGGTCATTTAGAAGCCTCATTTAGAAACAGTGCTGAAACAGACAGTCAAAAGAAATTGATGCAGATGTTTACAAAGAAAGTGGACTACTGTAATACTACAAACGATATAAATATATTATATTTAGATCCTTAAATTAACATAGTTATTAACATATTTAGTTACACAATTCCATATTATATTCCCTATTAAGCGGATTCTAAAAGTACACGTTTTTTACTGAAATAACGCCAGCAAGTATTCATAGAAAAGGTTAAAATATTATAGCCTTTTACAAGGTATATAAAATGTAGTCAGAATGAGCACGTCAAAACTTGGATGAAGAAAGTGGAATACGGTTGTGTACTTTTTATTTAAGCTACCACTACCAGCCATATACAGTATGTATAATATATTTATATTCCTAAATTAATATCGTTTATGAGGATATGATGTTCAGAGACATTATGCTCCTGTTATTTTTATGCTCAGCTACCGAAATTCCCCTTTTGTTGTAAAATTCTATATTAATATTCCATATCTAGCGGATTTAAACATGCACAGTAGAGAGATTAAATGCAGCAATCAGTTCACGTAGAACTAATGCACCACAAGTGCTACCCGTCGACTATCTTTGGCCAGTGAACCACGTACTGCGGTCACCTGTAGCTCAAAAACGCGGGTCAGGGTTTTACCGCTTATGAATGGCTACATCAGTATAAACTGCTGCAGGCAGGAAACATCTATCTTTGGCTCTTGACACTACCAGGAGCAACTGCATTAAAACCACAACATTAGCCACAGCCTTTGTTCGACTGTCTCCAGAAAGGCCCACATGCAGTTTTTCCAGCACGGGGCCGTGCCCTTTTGACGACACGATCCGGAAGGTGAAGAAACAATAGGGAAAAATATCATGCAGGAGTGGGTCAGGAGACAGGGGGCGTGTCCGAAGTGAGCAGGTGTCAAGGGGAAGTGAGTCCGAGGCAAACAATCCAAGCAAAAATCCAAAAGGGAAATCCAAAATGGGAGGCAGAGTCCAAGACCAGGGGATCCATCCAAAGTAATTTAAAAACAAGAACCGGGTCGGGACCGGCGGGACAGGGAATCAGGAACAGGAAACTAAAACCATAACGGAGCCAGACGCAGCAGGACCCCCGGGCTCTCAGGAAACGGGATTCAATGAGAAGCGCCGGGCAAACGCCTGAGTCTGGCTTTAAAGGTGGAACTAAAGAGGGGCTGGAATAAGGAACAGGTGTGGGAAATGGGACAGAACGACGAAGGGCTGGAGCGCCCTTAAGAGGAGGAGTAAGTTGATTCAGTTGTCCAGACCCCAAGAGCTGTGATCTTGGGGATTCTGCTAAGATCTCAGAAAGCCCCGATGGACTATCAGTTTGTTCTGAAACGGACAAAAAATAAAACTTTCTAAAACATCCTGCATACTCCCCATGCCGATACAGAACAGGTACATTTTAACTTTCGATAAATTATCAAACAATTTGACTTTGCTTTGCACATGAACTTATGGGATCAGAAACCCAAAATAGTTGCTTTTGTTTTGTCTTTTCAATTGCCTGATTGAGCACCAAAAAAGTAGGTGATCCGAATTTTGTAGGAACAAAAATTGTGGCATCCAATATATTGGGTCTTTTAATTATAACAACCCACAATTAAACTGATCAACAATTTCGAATTATAGTATGATGGGTGGAATCACACTTCATAGACGGGTTGCTGGGAGTATAGTTCATACCCCAACAGGGCATACCATTATTTCAGCTTCACATGGTAAAAAAGGCAAGACTTTTAATCAACAAAAACTGGATGAAACTGTCATTTGTTTTTAGCAGTTAACTGTGTTACAAAGAAAATCTGCAAAATTAATTAGCAATTCTTCTTTTTTACTGGTAAGGAGCAAGAAAAATGACAGCATGTGCCTCATCTAATAGATATGAATGTATTATTATTATTATTATAAGTCACCATAATGCCTATTTGAAATAAATCAGAACCACATAATTAAGTCTAGTTTATGATCTCCTTTTGAGTAAGTTTAACTTTAAGATTTTAATGCTTTTAAATATCTTTAACTTTTTTTTTCCATTGCATACCACGGGTGCGATTCCAAAAAAAATGCGCTGTGTGCATTAGTGTGCACTAAAACGAAAATCGGTTCAAATGGATAAGAAAATTAAACGTCTGTGATTTGCAATGAGTAGTTAGAACAAGGAAATCGAGAAGGGCGAATGCCTCAAACCGGCTTGGTTGCAAAAGATCGCAACACTCTGAAACAGGTAAAAAAAGGAAACACTTCGGCCGTCACCTGGAACAATAATGCTCTTACAACAATAACGATATCAGTTATTTTCTGCAAGACACTCAGCACAGATAGCGCTCCCCGTCTTAGCATGGGGTGCAGGAGTGATTCCCTACCTCTCTGCTAGCTCGTCTTTCCAGCTTGCCCCTGCTGAATGTGGTCTTGGTGGGAGTCTGGGCCATTCTTCGTACGGAGGCAGCAGAGAAAGCAGTCAGGAGTGGACTGGTAGGTGCCGGAGTAGTATTTTTATACCGAGTCCCAGGGGTGAACGTCTGGAAGAGCCACGTGGCTTGTTGGCTTGGGTCGGGGGGTGGGAGCGTCGGTAAAATATCCATTTTTGCATCAGTCTCCCCAGGGCTCTTCAGCGCCAGGCAGCGTTTTCACAAACAGGGATCCTGAAATGTGTGGTCTCGTTCCACGAGCTTAGTTTTCTTGTGTGTAACCTGGTTTTCACCGTTGGTTTCTATAATAGCCCCCCCATTTTGGAAAAAAACGTTTTTTTGTAACTAATATTTGTATATTTAAAGTACCTCTGTTTACTTAGATTCACGAACTTCAGAAGATTAAACATTTAGACCAGTGTGTACAGTGTGTCTTTGAAGTCCTCTTTATTATTCATAAAATAAATGTTTTTCTTTTTTTGATCTGCCCTGTACTTTCTGCGATGTAATGAAATGCACGATGACAAGCGACGCCGTCCTCAGTTTTTGTTTCCCACGTTGGGAAAGGATGTCACTGTGGCGCGGTCTGCATCCACGAATGTACCCCACTGAAGGTGAATGGGGGGCCGGCGTGACCAGCTGAGTCCAGAGCACCCGGAGAGCCCCGAGCCGGACCTCGTGGAAGAGTTAAAACAGCTAATGGAATCACTGTAAGAATAACAAAAAACTCGTTCCACTTAAAAAAAAAGTATTTTAATTGTTGCAATTTCATAGCTGCCCCTACCTTGGCTCAGTGGTTAGCAGTGCTGCCTGGCAGCAACATTTCTGGTGCCCTGGGTTCAGTGACCTTAGGGGCTGTCTATGGGGAGTCTGCATGTTTATTTAAGTTTCCTCCCACAGTCTAAAGACATACTGGTCTTCCAGAAAAGTGGCCCTGGTGTGAGTGTGTGTGTTTGTCCGTGGCTGCCCCGTGATGGACTGGTGTCCCGTCACTGGTGTATACTCTCCTGTGAGTGGGATAGATAGGCCGAGACCCTGAACTAAAGGGGGATAGAAAACAGATGAATGGATGGTTTCTTTACGCAATTTATGATCTCAGCACTCATTTATTCTCTTCTTCATTTGACAGTACACGAGGAGCTCACAAAACAGGAACAACAAAACTGCAAACGAGAAGAGAGCAAAACCAATCCCATAAATAATCTAAAAAATAATGTATTCTTTTTTCATCAATCACTTCATATGAGGTTGATTTATTTGTGATTCCTGGTTTTCCCATCTATGCGCACTGTAAAACAAAAAGTAGTTCCACATTATTAAAACAAAAGTTCTATTTAATTAGAGTGCTGCATGTACTTCATAAAATATACCTCCACCTCAGATAATTACACTTTAGATTTGATTAGGAGAGCTGCAGGCCACGCTGGAGAAGAGGTAAACAGTATGGTGGGGTATCAGAGATGAAGAAAATAACAATTGTGTAATAAAGAAAAACGAAGGTGTTATATGAAGCATATTTTTGTTTTAGAAAGGCGCAGAGCTTGAAATGTCTATATTCTTTTTAAAATATGTAAAAATAAATGGCAATTTACTGTTGCTTATAGCTCAACACATTAAACTAAAATGGAAATCTATAACATATGATCATCCATAGCCAGCACCCATATCACCCTGCAGCTCTCAAATGGCTACACACTGAAGCTCAACAGGGTTGAGCCTGGTCAGTACCTGGATGGGAGACCTCCTGGGAAGCAATGGTTGCTGCTGGAAGAGGTGTTATTTGGACCAGCCGTGGGCGCCCACCCTGTGGTCTGTGTGGGTCCCAATGCACAGGTATAGTGGCGGGGACACTTTACTGTACTGTAGTGGGTGCCTTCTTTCGGATGAGATGTTAAACCGAGGTCCTGACTCTCAATGGCCTTTAAAGATCCCCAGGCATTTCTTGATAAGAGTAGTGAGTTATCCCGGTGTCCAGACCAAATTCCCCCCCTCACCCTTTACCGTGGCCTCCAGATTGTCCCCCCTGTATGATTGGCTTACACTTACCCTGTGATGGACTGGTGCCCCATCCAGGGTGTAACCTGCCTTGCGCTCATGGCTTGCTGGGTAGGCTCCGGGTTCTTGCGACACCGTATGGTATAAGGAAGTTTGGTACATGTCATGTCATGACATGATCGTCCATCTGAATTATTCTACTCATATCTATGCTCTTAAATCATGACAGCACAAAAATATTATTTGGCATTGATCACACTGCAGAGGCCTGTGACATTGTGTTCTGTTCCAGCAGTGCGGTTTTTCAATTAAATCCATTGCTTAATCATGGCCAGCAGCCATATCACCCCGCAACTCACAACTGGCAACCCACTGAAGCTCAGCAGGTGTGAGCCTGGTCAGTACCTGAATGAGAGACCTCCTGGGAAAAACTAAGGTTGCTGCTGGAAGAGGTGTTAGTGGGGCCAGCAGGGGGCGCTCACCCAGTGGTCCATGTGGGTCCTAATGCCCCAGTATAGTGAGGGGGACACTATACTGTAAACAGGTGTCGTCCTTCGGATGAGACGTAAAACCGAGGTCTTGAATCTCTGTGGTCATTAAAAATCCCAGGGCATTTCTTGAAAAGAGTAGGGGTGTAACCCCGGCGTCCTGGCCAAATTTCCCATTGGCCCTTGCCAATCATGGCCTCCTAATAATCCCCCTCTATAAATTGGCTTCATTACTCTCTGCTCTCCTCCCCACTAATAGCTGATGTGTGGTGAGCATTCTGGCGCACTATGGCTGCCGTCGCATCATCCAGGTGGTGCTGCACATTGGTGGTGGTGGAGGGGAGTCCCCATTACCTGTAAAGTGGTCAGTGTCCAGAAAAGCGCTATATAAGTGTAAGCAATTATTATTATTATTATTAATCACCCACCATTGATCAATTTGGAGTTTAAATTAATTTCATTGCATAACCTTGTGGGGGCTTTTCAAGTTTCCTTTATAAACACGTTGATCGCTTACAATCTTCAGAGCCAAGATGCAGCTATGCCCTGAAGCAGAGGAGGCCTGAGCTCCACTTGAGAAACGCTGACTCTATCACACTTTTACAATGACATGTGGTCAGGATGTCCTGAAATGTATCTAGTCAAGGAAATAGCGCAACGCTATTTCACACGGGGTGTGTGTGTGACTAAACTTCTCTGCAGTAATTGGTAGTCATACAGTAGAAATCATAAAAAAAGAAACAGGAGATTACCAGTAACCGTTTACTATGCGCACGAGTGAAAATAAATATTTACCAGTGAGAAAAGAAGGAGAAAACAAACCAGAGAAAAGCAGCCAAACTGAAGAATTACAGTTAACTCAGAGCCGATTTAAGAAAAACAGGATTGAGGGGACACAAGCTGTGGTACAGCACACAGAGTTACACTTTTGACTTCCATTTGAATTTGATTTGACTTCCAATGAATTTCATTAGTTGTTCATTTCAAAATCTGATGTTTAGTCCAAGCTTTCCGCCTGAGAAAAACATTTATCTTCATTTTAAAATGGTAAAAAACAAACACTCATCTGGAATCACATCTGTTACGATTGCATAAGAATCAAGATAAATGTGCAGATAGATTAAAACAAGTCCCTGTTTCTAATAAGAAAAAAAAACATTACATTGCAGCTATAGAGTAAATAATAATAATAATAATAATAATAATAATAATAATAATAACAATAATAATAATAATAATTGCTTACACTTATATAGCGCTTTTCTGGACACTCCACTCAAAGCACTTTACAGGTAATGGGGACTCCCCTCCACCACCACCAATGTGCAGCATCCACCTGGATGATGCGACGGCAGCCATAGTGTGCCAGAACACTAGCCACACATCAGCTATCAGTGGGGAGGAGAGTAGAGTAATGAAGCCAATTCATAGATACAAAACCATTAATAAAGTAACTCAAAAACGAAGACCCTTGGGAATTTTTGATTGGTGAACCAATCTGAATCTTGAGGTTTCAACTCTGTTGATTTCACAGGGTAAAAGTAATCCTTTTCTGTGAATCACTGTTAAAGTTCATATTTCAAAACAGCGGAAACGTCCTCGTCAGCACAAATATTTTTGAGTCCGGGCACTTGGCGATTAGGATGACTCTACTTAAGAGCTGGCATGTAACAGCAGTGAGGATATTAAAATACACAGATAAACTGACAGATTTTCCAACATTCCAGAAAGTTAGCTGACATACAAGATCCAAGAGAAAAAAAAATGTTAATGGTCTGTAATGGAAAGAATATGTTTAAACTCCAACAAGGCATCAATGCCATATCAAATGAAAAAAGATAACATCAGTGTGTCTTTGCCATGTTAACGTAGTCCACCAATGCTCATTATAAGAGGAAATGAGCACAAAGTGCTTTTCAAAATATTTTGTTTCCAAATTAGCAACATCTGAGGCCATATGAGACCCTGAGGCAGTAGTTCTGATATGTCAGTAATATGGATCATTAAACTGTTTTAAATTCCAGGAGAGCAGTACTAATATGCCTAGCTAGTAGTGCAGTACAGTGTATAATGATGCAGCATTGAAGGAAACCAATGACCTTTGTTCTGCTACACAGTCTAAGTCATTCAGCAAACTGAGAAACTGTGATGGGAGTTAATCCGGGTGACCAAATGGCTTAAAATATGTCCAACTTCTAAGTCAAATCCTGTTAAACAAAAGGTTGAGATAACATGCCACTTTTCAAACAAAAAAACAGAAGACTCTGTGGTTGTTCAGGAGATGAGTTTCAACCTTCTGACCTTCAACGTTGTTCAGCGTTTATCACAGGAGACATATGTAAATGTTCTATTTCAGCTCAACTCCAGTTGCAAAACCTCAAGATGAGCCCTGAAAGTATGGTCTTCTCCAGGGTGTTCTAGCCTTAGTGGTGCTGTGATCAGACAAGACACTACTCATCAGATCTGGCTGCCATCTTTGAACACTAAGGAGCACTGCAAGAATTCAGATGGCGAGAACATGCGTTCTTGGGTATCAAAACATTAGTCAGTGAACCAAAGTCAGAGAATCTGGAAAATTCCAGATTGTGTGCCTTTTTATCTACAAGTTGTGTTATCTGAGAAACACAACTTGTATATACTGTAAGCTGGTGAAAACTTACATTCTGTAGTTCTCTCCTGCAATTGTTCCAACATTTTGTAAAATGTTAGGTTTGGAGGCAAATATACTGGCTAGTAATCATATGAAGCCTGCAGGGAGCAACTCAGTTGAGCTGTCTCTTAAAAAGCTGCAGTAAGTAAAAGCAGAACATGTTCCATATTCCTTTTGGCGTTGCAAGCAGTGTACCTGAGGGAACCACAATTCGAGAATATTTGAAGGACTGGCGCTGCAGTACAGTGTACAATGATGCAACATTGCTCTACTACAGGGTCTGCGCAATTCAGCAGAATGGAAAAACTGGTGTTAACGAGGATACCAGACACCTTCACAAATTGCTCATGAAAAGATGTCAACATTCTAAATCATGTCCAGTTAAGCCAAGACTGAGGTACTTTATACTATTTTTGAGAGTGGGGATTTTTCCTGGGACCTCTGAATAAGGTATTGTTTCAAGTTTAGGTTTTTGCTCATTTACTTGTGGGGTTTGATTACTTATATTCTGATTCTTTAAAAAAGGAGAAAAAATAACAGAATATTTGCTCAAGAAGCACCAGCAATGCAAACAATAAAAACAATGAGAAGTGTGGCTCAAAGGGTGGTGTGGTGGCTCTGTGGTTAAGGATCTGCGCCTGTTGCTGGAAGGTTGCTGGTTCGTATCCTGTGGCCGGCAGAGGAATCCTACTCTGTTGGGTCCCAACTGCTCCAGGGGCACTGTATAATTGGCTGACCCTGCACTCTGACCCCAAGCTTCTCTCTCCCTGTCTGTGTGTCTCATGGAGAGCAAGTTGGGATATGGGAAAAGACAAATTCCTAATGCAAGAAATTGTATATGGCCAATAAAGTGATTTAAAACTTCACCAGCAGCTGTATGGACTCTACATGTGATGAAGAAGGAAATTAAAGACAATACTACAAAAGGAGTAATTTTATTACATACACCTATGCAGCACTCTTATTAGAAATATTCACAGATCAATGAAAAACAACAACAATTAGTGCACTGCTGAATATTAGTAAACAGATATACCCTGATAAACTGGCAAGCAAAGTACCTGGATGGGATGCCAGTTTATCGGGGTATATCTGTTTACTCATTTCTTGTATTAGTGCCGAAAAAATGTCGAAACTTGTCAGTGATATTCACAAACAGGTAAAACCCCCCCTACCGGCTCCAGACCAAGACTACTGCCACGCCCTCCAGCCAGGAGACTGGATCCTGGTGAAGGGCTTCAGGAGGAAAAAGTGGTGTTCACCCAGGTGGAGAGGCCCATACTAGGTGCTCCTGACCACCACCGCTGCCATGAAGGTTGCAGAAAGAGTGCCCTGGATCCATGCGTCCCACTGCAAGAAGGTGACCAGCGATCTACAAGCAGACGACGTATCAGAGCAATGATGACGTCTCAGCGTCTTTGGCACCCATTCCGACGCTTGGGGTGGTCACTCGGTAGAAGCCTGTGTGGACTCGTCTCCCTCAGTCTGTTCATCATCGTCCCCATTCTGTTGACAACTGACTCTGT